GAAAATTGTGATTTTTTTGAAGTTTTGATGAGGTGACCGGTCGACCGGGATGACCGGTCGGCCGGGAATCACGTTAGATAGTTGGCCACACCGGCCACCCAATACACAACACATCCATCGCTTCCACAGATATTTCTTGCCACGTGGACATTTCGTCCTAAATCCAAAGATCCTCCAGGAGGATCACGTCAATCTGAGCAAAGATGGCTCCCAATCTTGCTGCCTCTGAACTAGAGTTCTTTCACGATATGATCTTGAGTAATAGACTAACTCCTTCTCAGATTGCTAAAGCTGCTGGCTGCCATCCGAGCACTATTACTAGGCATATTAACAACATGGCCTTATTTGGGAGTCTGAATGCCCCTCATATGAAGTGTGGTCGCCCACGCCGCCTCACACCTGAAATGATCAAAGCTCTTCTTGACTACCTGATAAAAAAGCCCTGCTAGTATCTTAAGGAATCCAGCTATCTTCTTGTATGACAAATTTGAGGTCGACGTTCCGCTATGTAACATCAGCCGTGCTCTGAAACGTGAAGGCTGGTCGAAAAAGGCAGCGAAACAAAAAGCCAAAGAGCGCAACGCAGATTTACGAGACGCAACATGGACATCTCGCCTCATGTGCGTTTCCGGTGAAGTCTGAGATCAAAGAGATCCTTTGGCAGAGTGGGCATATCACCTCAAGTTCGAGGAGACTCGGATAAGATGCTGTATAGGTATGGAGTTTCTCTTCCACTTTTGCGTCATAGGCCGCTCGCTCGCTCGGAGTCAGGTCGCTCTTGTACCAGAAAACGTCATAAAAGCGTACGGGAGCCAAACGATCCAGCTCGTTCATCTCGAGCACTGCGGGACTCTGCACTCGACGGCATGTCCGCCATCATCCGGACCCTGGCGATACAGTCGCATGTTGGCCTCTGTGAGCATTGATCTCCGTGTCTGTGGTTGGCTGAAATGCTGGAAGAATTTCGCCCAACCTTGCGCTTAGAGGCGAAATGTAGTCAGTACAGGGCGCCGCTGCAGCACTACCAGTTGGGCTCCTACTTCGTCCACTGGTCGGTGGCGAAGGCGATACCACTAGACGGCCTGGCTTAGTACCTCTTCAGCTACACGCCCATGATTACCTGGGGGAAATTCACGTATAATTCTGTCACCGATTTCTCTAATGGTTGGACAGGGTCCCTTGCGCTCTACGCGTAACAGCGCCATCTGCACCACGGCAGCGATTGCATGCGCATAGCAAGTTGCGGAACTGCCCTGGTCTGTTGGGTTGTTGCAAGTAATAACATGCTTATCCTGGATAAACTCATCCAGCCGTAGTCGGCCTATAATGTCCAACAGCGCGTCCGTGGGTCTAGGATGCGCTGATACCAGCAGTGAGCAGAATTCTGCAGCTGCGGTCTCAGTACAGACGCAGACATACAAGGCAACTTCCCCAGAGCACGGAATTTGCCAGCCCAACGACATCAACACCAGAATGGGGTGTTTACTGGCAGATACCTTGGATGCTATATTGAAGAGAGTACGCTGACCCTTATCCCAAGAGTAGGCTGGTTTATCGTATATGCGTCGTTGAGCAACGTTGTGATCGCTTGTCAGGTACACACTTGCCACAACGACACCCTCCGAATGCAGCTCAGTAGCGATCTCGCCAGGATCACCGTCTGTGGCGTGGCCATCTGACATTAGCACGAGAACTCGCTGGTCACAGTCGGAGTTCGCACGGAAAGCAGGTAATGACCGGTTTAAACCTCCAGTCTAGTTCCATGGTTGTAGTGTTGTGCATACTGTATCACCTTCCGGTCAAAGTGCCGACAACCCACTCGTGAACAAGATACATGCTTGCGAGCCTGAACTGTTGTTGGTGGAAACTCTTAAGCCGAGGAAATATAACGCGGACTAATTGAGACGGATCCCACAACCTCGCGAAATGGCCCAAATAGGAAACTTTTATAACGTGGATAAGCTATATATATCTTCCTGTGCCCTTGTGACGATCATTACGTAAAATGACTCCACTACAAAATTAGCCTTTTAGGGGCATATGGCCAATCTATTCCCCTTAGGGGTAAGCTACCTTCCTCCTTGGGCCAAATTGCGAACCCAGACGAAGTGGGCGGCTACTCTCTTTACAAAGCAGGGAAGGTGACTCACGATCATCTCCTTCGAACCCACAGTTTCTTTTGTCGGGGGTTATAAAAGATCATATTTTCAGAGCTCGAAGTTCTTTATCTTGATATAAGTTTTCAAGCCGGCCCTATCCCAATAGCTTTCTACACCGATTGAACATTCTTTCCAGACGTCTTTTGTCTTTCAAATCATGGCCTTTAACCGTATCGCTGTCTATGGTCACCGTGGATTTGTTGGCTCTCGAGTTGTTGCTGCTCTAATTGCCTCGGGAGCTCCAATCACTGTTTTGCATCGTACTAGCTCGGATACTTCCAATCTCCCCGAACATGTGAGAAAGATTGAAGTCGACGTTCTTGATGAAGACGCTTTGGTTGGTGCCTTGCAAGATATAGACATTGTGATGTCAGTCAGACCTACTGCGTATCTGTACCTTTTCAAATCTATGCTAATTGATTTCTCAGCTCTCTTGTTGGAGACGAGGGTACCGACAGACAGTATGGCTTTGTGAAAGCCATCCCTAGGACTAATGTCCAGCTTTTCTGCCCTTCGGATTTCTGTCTGCGATATTGTGAGCAGGGAATGCGCATGCCCTGTATGAAGGCAAAAGCGAAAGTCGAAAAGGCTTCTAAGGATGCTGGGATTCCAACCTCCGTCATCCACGTAGGAAATTTCGCTGAATTCACCTTAAGTACACTGTCAGTCATCAACCAACCACTCGGGATGTTTATCCGTAACTGATTTTCACAAATTATAGGGCAGTGGGTATTGATTTGCAGAATAACACATTGGTCTACACCGGCAACTCTGCTAGCGAAAAAGTCACTATGTGGTGCGTAACATTTTACCCAGAGACTCTTTCTCATCTAAATAATCCCTTTGGTCTGATTAAACTAATTCCTTGTAGCACCAAGGACTACGTAGCAGCTGCGTACGTCGACATATTTACCACCAGACCTATACGCACTATACAGAACCGGACCATCACCTTGTCAGAGCTTGCACCAACAGGCATGGAAATTGCTGCGATCATGAAAGAGAAGAACGGCAGAGACCCCTCTATTGCGACACGAAGCTTAGAAGAAGTCAATCGAACGATTGAGGATTGTATCAGCAGGGAGAGTAATCTCGCTGTCCCGGCCTATTGCCGCAAGATCTGGGGAACGGGAGAAATGATGAAGATGCTTCCCGATGATTTATGGGAAGTTAAGGACTACAGGAAAGCAAGTTTAGAGGACCTTGTCATAGGAGGAAGATTGGAAAGTTATAGAGTCATACCCGATCATGTGTTAGAGTACCTAAAAAGGATGCTCTGAGACATGTAGTCTTCCGCACGACCCCAGATGGGTTCTGGGGGACCCCATTGGGGTTACGCACTTAACAAACAAGCCAAGTCCCTGGGACTGCATAAATTATGCATCTAGGTTTTCTTTCGTCGAAGATTATTATTGGTCCAAAAGTAATCAATTCTGCAATAGCGCTCATACATATCGTTCTCCCTGATTCTTCGCTTTCTCCCTGAACCTCTGAGCTGGGTGGTGTTCTCTGGTAGTGCCACCGTAGTTTTTTCTTTTTATCAAATGGCGGCGTCCGTTTGCAGTCTCTAAATGCAGTTGAACGCTCCGAGGCGTTCGTCAGTCTTCGGGGCGCGAGTGGGTTCATCGAGTCTTCAGGTCCTCGTGCAGCTTCCTTTGCATGTTCGTCCACCATCTCGTTTCCACTGATTCCTTGGTGCGCCGGGATCCATTTGAGCTCGGTTCGGATGCTGTCTGCCAATTGACGAATAAGATTCAAGCACCCCGCTAGGTAGACTTGGCCGGAGGGCATGTGTGGTCGACGAGGGCTTGTAGTATGAAGCCTACTGCAGACGCATACCAATAGAAAATTGCGAGAAGCTATGCAGGTCCGCTCCACCTTAAAGTCAGTGCGTAGGGGTATCGGCTGTCACATGTTCGCCTGCTTGAAGCCACTTTGATGCATTTTCGGGACCTTTCCTTATTGATGTGTACTCGTTCTCCATGTGTGAATGCTTCCCAGCACTGTAATGGAGTAGGAGAGAAGACTTCTGATTCAATTTCAGAGCTGGGGATCGTGCCCCTCCGTTCTGTTCGAGAAAACATGCACTAAGCATCAGTTCTTTTTACTAGACAAGTACGATAGGTAAGAAGATAACGTACTGTGTTTTCAAGGCACGGCATTTGCAAGCAGGCGTCAAAAAAAAAAAAAAAAACGAGCCTGTGGACGGTTCTTTCGGATTCGTTCCAGGGTGGGAGTGTTATTTCGAAATTGGGCGCGCTACGCAGAATGAAGTCAATATCACTGGGCCAGCTCAGTGTGCAAGTGCGAACCACAGCGCAAACGCCGCTGCCTCTTGCTTGTGGATAATTTGCCGATGCTCCCACAGCTGATTATTTTTTGCTCTTCCTCTTCCGGCTGTCAGCATAAGAAGACGCGTGTCTAAGACATGAGATGGATACTACAATGGACTATAACTCCCGGGAACGGAGCAGCGGGTATAGAATTGGCTGCGATTCTGGTTTAAGCACAGCCTATTTCCCTCAGCGTGGACATTCTTTCCTACCAGCGATCGGACTAAGGAGAGGTGTGTATTATAGCTGCCGAAATGCCGTTTGTTTCATTAATACTCTTTATCTTTCGCAAAGACTGTAAAGCTATCTAGTTACAGATAATGAGTACTCCCGACATTAACCTGATAAGAGAGATAGGATGGCATCGAGCAAGAAACAGATTCTACCGATCTTGCTATATCTACTCAAAGAGCTACAGGAAATCGTACAACAGGCAATTGATGACCTTTTACTGTGTGATGCAAACTTGACCATATCTTAACATGCTCTTAGCTCCTCGGAAAGGATTCATGCTCTGACCTGGGGTATTATGATCAAACTTCAAGAGGACCTAGAGCATCTCGCTAATCGCGAGTCGGAAGCAATAGAGGCCTGAAAGGAACTCTGAAAAGCTTCCTAGGCATTTACTGTAGAAATCATTGTATCTATCTAAATTTTGAAACTGGCCTTATATCCTTTATCTCAGTTATTGTTTGTCACGGACCTTGACCAGCCTCCGAAGATCTTCCTTCGTGATACCCTATGACCTAACTACCCGATCGGGACTAGCTTCAGAGCTATCCACACATATTGTGATCAGCTCCTGAATAGCTTCACAACCTAGCTTAGTTTCTTCGTTGAATGCATATCCTACATTTTCGCGATTTCTTATCGCTAGCGTAGCCGTTCGTCACAGTTATTTAAAATGTTCAGATCTCTAGCCTTCGAATTGTTCTCAGAATGTTATCTACAGGTTATAATCAAGAATAGTATTTGTAAATTGTATATTTATCGCATAGATATTGAGGTCCTGTTTTGTGGCTGTATTCAAATCGATTTTCCAATCCTTATCTTCACTTGATGAGGACTGCGGTGGTTGAGACATGATGGTACAAGTATAGAGGAGTGTAACAAGGTATAAGGGATAGATAGAAGGGGAAAAAGGGAACAGTGTAGAGGTTAGTGAGAAAGAGAAAGTGCTAAAATTGGAATAACTGGTTGTTCTCTCTGACACGTCAGACCTATAGGATTTTCAGTTAACTTCTGAAACAAGATATTCAGATGCACAAAAGGAAAGGCAGGAGGGGGAACAGATAAGAAGTGAAGAAAATAAGAGAAAATAAGAAAAGTAAGGGATAGTGGTCAAAGATTGAGGTTTTTGGTGTTTTTGGACGTGTTTATAGACCTTCGGGCTCTATAAATGATGATTAGCAAGAGAGTGCGCCTCTAGGCGATAGTTATTTAACAGTTTGGGGACTGTTAAATGTCCGTTTAAACTTTGAATTGTTACAATCTTCTCCTTCAACTGATATAGGGCAATAGCTAGGCAATCATAGAAAACAGCTTTTTAGGGCTGTTGACTCAGTATTAAGCTTTATAATTACATATATTCTGATCTGTATGTCTACTGATCAGTGTCAGTTGACTTGGTTATTACCCTAAGCAGATATTCTATCGATTTAACAGAATGTAAGTATATGCTCGGTAGATAAAAGTGAAGTATCATTTCTTAACTACAATCTGTTTAGCCTTTTATAGTTCTACTTGTTTATACCTATGCATTCCTGATCCATTGGTATGTCATTTGGAATGGTAGGCCAAGTCTAGGCCAAGCAAGGTGCTGTGCGGTATGTGGATTAGGTCAGGATACTCTACCTCTCTGGTCTGGTTGACAATATTGTTCCAACAGTTACATAAATTATTATTAAATTGAAGTACTAACTATTGGAGGCTATGAATTGTCCCCTTGAGATTTATTACTATATACTTTAGCGCACCCTCCGCTTATAGTGAGATTCAACTAAAAAGTCCGCACATATCTGCTCAATAAAACATGGCCTAACAGCACTTCAATCTGGGCGGGAAAAAGACTATTTGGGTGTTTAGCTGTTTGCTCATGCGCTCGGCATGAATAAGCTCTACTAGCAAACTGTAACATTTTCATAAGATTCCATATTAGTGTCTTTCGCCTAGATTTCCAGATTAAATATATATGATTCATATATATGTAAAAAATAGTAAAGAAGTAGGATTCTAATACCTTTCTATATATTTTGAGCGAACTAGCGATGGCACGGTATACCCATAATACCCAAATACCAGTTATCTGGGAATCTTTGGACACTTGCAATCTATTATACCAAGAGAGATGTATCGTTCGTTCAGGCAGTAGGATCTAATGTTTGAACACAGTAGCTTTTGAGTATCGACAAACTGCTTCAATCGAGTTAACGCAACTTGAACTCGTACAAATAAGGCCACAGCATTTGAGGAAAAGATTAGTCTGTATTGCGAAACTTCTCATGTGCGATAATCATGCAAAGTCTGAATCAGTCACAAATCGCGTAGTCAATAATTTGCTTGTAAAAACATGTAAGTATAGTAGGCTCGAAGAATTTTATAATAAATCTAACCTGACACCTAGAAGCGATCTCCGCGAAGAACACTATTTCGCTCTTGTTTTCTTCGGATAGAGGTATAAAATTTTAATTCGGACAAGATTGTCTACTTTAAATTTGGAGATCTAAGTCTTCCGTTACAAGCATATGGGCAATTCATGAAACTTGGCGTAAGTGCAGGGCTGAGAGAATACTTTATACTGAGTATATCATTCATTACATATATCTTACAGGGATCAAATTTGGACGGATTTCATGGCTAAGTACTGCTGTTTGACATTTAATGATTCTAGGAAAGCCTAGACCATTATGCATCAAAATCTATATTTAGAGGCGCAGAAGACATTAAGTAGTTATATATTCTATGCCTCGTTGCTGCCTTCTTTAAGGGCACTATAAAATATGCTACCGAATTGGATTCCTGCGAAAATCAAGTCACTTTCCCTTTCCGCTTTAGGCCCGACTTGGCGCCGCTTTTTGCTCACTCAGCGGCCCGGAGTTGGAAAGTATGTAGATAGAAGTAAATGTTAAGGGTCTGTAAAGGTCAGATGCCGGGTAGTTATTTAAAACTATGCATTGTCACTGCCAAAAGCCGGAAAATAGGGTCATGTGATTTATTAGCGCGGCGGATGACCCCTACGAAGGTGCCATCCGACCTGTAACCTGACAAACAAGAGGTCAGGTCACCTGTATTCAGTTAACTGTATTACAGGTACATGTCCGGATGCCGCTCTGTCCAGGCTAAAAGCAGCACCCACGGATTACCCGTCTTGGCGAGGTTTCCGGGGCCGACGACGCCAGAAACGGCCGCTCCGGATGCCCTTTTTGGCCTCGACGGCACCCAAAAGCACATTCTGCATGTAGTTTGTTGGAGATAAGCAACGTGCGTGATATTCGAGAGAGGTGGATCGAGAGATCCCTATCTAGGAAGCCACTGTGGGCGGCGCTAGTCTACATATGGCAATGGAGGCGAAGGGCTTGGAGCACCTCCTCAACATAGTTGTGGTGGTAGGTTTTGACAGGCCGCAGCGTGATGGCACGGCCTTCTTCTAGCCGCCGTTGGCTCTGTGAAGCAAACCGAGCGGGTCACGAAAGCCGCAAGCTTCTAGGGCTGGAGAGGGGGAGGGAGCTGGGAAAGAAGGAATATTATATATTATTTTCTGAACTATGGTTAATTGACTTTGAGCTGTTAAAACAAATGAGAAGGAAAGTGGTCTAAACAGCGGTAGCATAGCTGTAAAGAGAGCAGTATTATTACGCGGCCTTTACGCCGTCCTTGTTGGTTTTGAGTCTGTAGGGCGACAAAGTTTGTTGCTGCTTGTGGCATTGATAAATATTCTCTCATATTGGCATATTGGCTGAAGACGATCATATGATTTCTCTCCTTGAGCTACAGGCTTCGTGGAAGTAGGGTTGACGGGCTCATCAGAGTACCAAGGAAAGGTGGGAATAGTAGAACTGGGATGGTTGATATAATGTCGGAAGTTTGGCTAGAAACTTGTTGAAGGGAGATTTTCCCCTCGGTTAAGAAAACAGGTTGGCCTGTCTCCTCAGGCCAGGCATTACTCCAAAATCTTTTATCTATTACATGAAATTTTTGCTTCAGTTCTAGGAAAATGATATTCACTTGAGTTACTGATTTTTTTGTGGGACTGAATGCAACTCCAGCCCAAGTTTTAGTAAGAAGGTATTGTTCGAAGGAATGGCAGGTTCTAGCCGAATAAACTTTCTGAATTTGCTGATCAACTAAGACTAGCTGCCTCGAATTGCAACATTCCTACCCATCGCCTAGCAGATGCATCCCGTGGTCATGGCAATGTTTCTACACGGTCAAGCAACGGACGAGGGATTGGTTTTGATTCCCGGTATGTAAAATTATATTTCATGCCACGAAATACCCCCCATGTCCTTCAAGAGAAATCGTGATATAGCAATAGGAAGCCAAACCTGTCCTTAAGCCGCCATAAAGAACTCCCAGGTGGCATCAGGAGCCAGCGAGCTTTCCACTCCAAGCGGCGCACCATCGTGTCCACCATCATAAGCAATAAACGAAACTGGCTCAGAGCAGCCATTAAAGTTTGTTCGTGTCGACCCGTGGCTCCCAGGCAAAGGCTTATCGATGTTCGCTGGCTGGCAGCCGTTATTCCCAACAAACTTATTCGCCAGCTCCACGCCCCCATCGAAAGGAAGCACGGGATCGTTAATACCATGGATCCCTAGATAGGCAATAGGATCATTGCCCCCTTCACACCCACTAATCACTCCACCGCTCAAGACACTCACTGCCTTGAACTCCTTCGCCCGCGAGCAAGCAAGGGAGTAGCTCATTCCACCACCCCAGGAGAAACCCGTCGCGAAGCGAGAGCTCTGGTCCACACAGAGCTCACCCTCAACTTGCTCCATGATGGCGTCGATGAATGCTACGTCTTCGCCGTTGGTATTGGCCCAGCCGGCATTCAGGCCATTAGGGGCTATAAAAATTGCACTGCCCTGTGCCCGGGCTTCGAGGCCATACCAGGGTTGGATGCTTTCGCCGTAGACGACGTTGTTCATATTGCCGCCGCGCCAGTGGAGCCCGAAAATGAGGTGGTATGGTTTGTTTGCATCGTAGCCGTCGGGGATTTTGAGGGTGTACTCGCGGCCGTTTATCTGGTGGACGCCATTGGCAAGAGTAGGGTTCTTGCCGCAGCCCGGAGAATTCGCGCCGTGGACGGAGGTGAGGGCACTGAGGGCCACAAGAGTATGGAGGAAGATGGATTGAACCATTATCATTAAATGATTGACAGATAGGAGTCTTTGCTAAGCTGCAGAGTGATAAGGAATTGAATGGACGGCTGAACTAGCAACCCAGTGATGAAGGGCTTCTGTTTATAGGTCCATGGCTTAACCGCGAGGTTGTTCCTCATGGAGATCCCTTCCCATGCAAGAACGGAGCTCTGGATAATAGTACGTTGCAAAAGATGTCTCGTCTCCATTCCTTCGCCCCGTGCAAGCATGCAAATCTCCCCACCGGCAGAACTAGGTTGAATCTATAGCCTATTCGTCGCCTTCATCCGGTGAACCCTGTATAGGAAACGCAACGACGTTTGGGGCTGTTGCAGGACGATAACGTAGGGTTACAGAAATTGCCAAGAGATGAGGGGGCCAATGAAACCCTTGGGAATAGGGTCAAAGCATCGTAGAGAGGAGTAGTACTGGGCTATCATGTGGAAAGCATTTCGTCGAGATTTGTAGCTATCGTCACGGTTGGTCTTCCTTCGTAGAAACTAGGGATGGATGAAGGACTTTGAATCAGGCTAAATTCTCGTCCCCGTTGATTCACGCTGGATAGTCTCCGTGATGGGTTGCATCGGAGATTAATTAGGACCTTCCGATCTGCATGGGCTGCCAATCGATGTCCATCCAAACAAGCTGGATTGACATGCCAAGATCCCATCGGCAATGGAGCGTCATTTTCACTGCCGAACACGGCGGTTGGTCCCCTATGGAACTCGCTAGCAGTAAGCCTCTATGGTATGAAGTGGTTGCCATTGACTCTGGTTTGGTTCGATAGAAACTAGTATATGCTTTGTGGGCCTTGTCAGGAGTAAACTAGCCGGACAACACCTGGCCGCCTATTCGGACTACTGATTACCTAGTTAGGAAGGCAGTCTGAAGAAGAAATAGCAAGACCTATAGTAATTTGTCCCCCAAATATCTTCTTTCTATGTAAAGTCTAATGTTAATTTCTCATTTGCTTAGAGTTTTTAGGGATTTAGGGATTTTGGGTCATTAGGTATAGGGTTAATCTTCTTTTTCAATATTTGTGATTAGGGTGATGTAGGTTTAGATAGAAGACTAGAGAACAGGTAGAGAGGGTGTGTAATAGAGTAATGGGCTCTGTTAGGCTTGTAGAACCGCCTCCCAACCTAGGTAGTGAGTTGTCTGGATAGATGGCCAGGTGCTGTCCGGGTACGGAGTAGATTACTCCACCTTCTCCACCTTAGTAAGGAATGTCTAAGGTGCCACGGCTCAAGCCGACGTTCTCTGAAGTCTGGGCCCTGAGCGAACGGGCCCTGGCATCTTACCGTAACCAGCTAGACGAAGGTTTTATTGACGGTCTATATTTAGAGGCGTAACTCCTAGTGTTTTAAATCATCACCTGTATCCCCACAATCATTAGCCCTCTGAAGGTTGACCTTGCATTAGTATTAAATCCTTCCTCGAGTGACATGCGACGGAAACATCTGGTTGCCATAAGGCTTGCACTTCGATTCGTTTGTGACATAATGCCAAGCTTGCTATTTTAGACTGATTTCAGACGTTTTAGCTCTCATCCTGCTGCTTGCCGTGTCTCAAGAAGGAAAATGCGCAATATACCGATCCCTGTGGAGTCAATAATGCTAGTATAGTGTTGACCCTTCAGATTAGTGACATTTGAACTTTCAAGGCTTGGCATTGGCAGCCTTGGCAATATGAGAGATGGGCAAGAGCTACACAAAGGTTGACCTGCAGGCCTCAGTGGACTTGGCAGGTTTCGGATATAGAGATGATCAGTACAGCAAAATGTTAACACCTCACGGGCTACACTGAAATCTATATAAGGACGGATACGCCCGCTGACGAAAAGAGCTCAGCAGAGCCATTGCATCTCATATTCCCTTCCGTTCATTTCTCTTACAACATCCTCGCTGGGCTGGCCCTTCCCTTCATTCACAAGAACCTTCTTTATTTTATTCTTCACTATGAAGCCCACTCTTCTTGCCACCGCATTGATCGCGCCCTTGGTGTCGGCGCATTACTTCTTCGACACCCTCGTCATTGACGGCCAGGAGACCACTCCTAACCAATACGTTCGTTCCAACACTCGGCCGGAAAAATACAACCCTACCAAATGGAAAAACGCCCTCGACGATATGACCCCCGACATGCCAGACTTCCGCTGCAATAAGGGCTCCTTCACCTTCGCTGGCCAGACCGGTACGGCGGAGGTCAAGGCTGGGTCGAAGCTTGCAATGAAGCTCGGCGTGGGGGCTACAATGAAACACCCTGGCCCTGGTCTTGTGTACATGTCTAAAGCGCCCGGCTCGGCCAACCAGTATGAGGGCGATGGCGACTGGTTCAAGATCCATGAGGAGGCCATTTGCGACCAGAGCAAGGACATCAAAACTGATGCCTGGTGTACTTGGGACAAGGACCGTATCGAGTTCACAATTCCTGCAGATCTGCCGGACGGGGATTATCTTATTCGGCCGGAGCATATCGGTATGTCTTCTCTACCATTCTTGGAAGAAAGAGCAAGTACACTGACTTCCCTTAAAGGTGTGCACGGAGCACATGATGGACAGGCTGAATTCTACTACGAGTAAGCTATCTTTCTCACATTTGTTTAGGATTGATTACTGACAGAATTTCCAGATGCGCTCAAGTCAAGATTACAGGCGGTGGTAATGGAACCCCGGGACCTACAATTAAGTTCCCAGGTGGTTACAAAAAGGATGATCCCTCGTTCAACTTCAGTGTCTGGGGAGGCATGAAGGATTATCCAATTCCTGGTCCGGCCATCTGGACTGGTGGTCCAGGCTCTAATGCCGCTTCTAACGTGATCAATGTGACTGATACGGATGGTTCTTCCTACTATCCAGAGGAGGCGAACACGTGCGGAAGCATCCTCCACCGCCGTGAGCACGCTCGTCATTTTCACCACTGAAGCGATGGCCTTTGGGAATGAAAAAGAAACCGTGTTAGCAGTGCTTGAGAGACTGCTTTTGCGATATTGAGCAGGAGTTAGAAGCACTCGGGTCACTTTGGCGGCTTGCGCTAGTTGTGGGATTGATTATGTTGGGACATAGTGCCTTTTTTTTATACTGGTTGTGAGCTATTAATTACAAGTGATTGTTATCAGTATATCGAGAATATCTCTTTCCGTGTGCCAGGCACAGGCAGCTGGGCAGTGTCATGTCGGATGTTGTTCCTAACCCTAATCTACCTAGTTATTGCCATAGTTAACAGGTTGTTTTATTAAGATTATTCAAGAACAGGAACTGGTATATCGGGGTTGGCTGTCTCACCAACGATGCCATTTATGATGCAGCCATATGAAATTCTGAATTATTCATGATTAGCATTAAACATACGGCTATCCTCATGAAAAACTCATACGTCGCAAATTGAAATCCCTAGCTCAGGGTGATGTCATTTCGAGCAGCGTTTCCGATCAGTTCCCAGGTATTTAGGAAAGAAAAGCCGAAAAGGATAATTGATGTTCGGTGTCACGGACTGTGACCAGCCTCCGATGAGCTTCGTGATACACTGACTTAACTACCCGATCAGGACTAGCTTCACAACCTAGCCTAGTTTCGTAGAATGCATCCCCTACATTCTCGCGATTCCTTATCGCCTGCGTAGCCGTTTGTTACAGTACTTCTATAAAGAATACTAATAATCTTATATAATAAATAATAAATATTAGTAGTCGATCTTTGACGCATTAGTAATGATGAAGTAACCGTGCACAATAATGAACCTGATTCTATAATACGATCCAATAGCACGAGTAAAGAATCCCATAACTACATCCGAGGCGATGCTTTCAGCTTTACCACGAAGCGAATTCAACAGTACCTAACACAAAAAACAAGTCAACACGCACCGCAAATATAAGAGTTAAACAAAAACACAATGAATAGGTAAGCAAACACGCAGAACAGTCAGGTTAGGTTGTGACAAAAACAGGTCTAGTAAATCGGGGGCCAGAGGGTTTTTGCCCACCAAAGCTTAGACATGTCTCCGCCCACAAATTTAAACCTCTGGCAGCATATTAGCAACAAATGAACGAACATCGGCTCTCAGCCCTTCCCAGTTAGACACCACAGGGCTCCTCATCTGGGCAGTACCGATTCCAAAAGTGATTGCTCGGCGCTGAACTCGATGATATTTTGTAATGCTGTCCAAAAAGGCTCTCATTGTAGACCTGATTTCTTCCGCCGCCGAATGTAAATTTTCCTCACATTCTTGGCGATGCCGGTTTCTCCAAGCTGAACAGGGTCGGTAAACCGTCTCAAGAATGCTGCGAAGAACTTGGTCATACTCTGAGCGGGCTCCCAAGTTTTCTTCGTATAATATTTTCATGGGATGGAATGCTTGTACAACACGAATACGGTGTTCATCCACAGACATAGATGCTACTTCCTGACGGCGAGCACCGTCGACTGAGGAGCATAATGACAGAGCAAGTGGGTTGTCGACAATACCCCAACGACCATGTGACCCCCTGGTTGCACATTGACATGAGATAATCACTGGTGGCTTGAAATGGCGAAGGAAGTTGATAGTAAGGTTAAACACTTCATTCGTCACACGTTGTTTTTCTTGGGCTCCCATGGCATCCATTCTTGTGTTCGTCAGCAAAGGAAAAACATCGATAATAATGATATCGCGCAATGTTAAGCCCAAAGGCTCCAGAGTCCGCTGCAGCCAGCTCAACGTAGGTGATTCTCGGATCATATCATTCCATGGAAGATTGTCCCACTCGCTTGGATTGAGCAATAGGATAGCTGGGAAGTTCAAGATGCCACAGAGCAAGCCTATGAAGTTGGATAAGCCTTCACCATCCCAACCGTTTCTTTTCCAGAGTTCTCGTGCAGGCTGAAAATACGGATCATCGGCTTCCAGTCGGGTTATTCTTTGATGGCTTTCCAGGTGTGGACGAAACTCATCCTGTATGAGGTCTTCGAGCTGACTATGTGGCGATACTTCGCTTAGAGAAAGCCATGACACGGCTTCTTCTAAAGTGCTATCTGCAAGTTGCTGGGTCTGTGTCATTGTGAAAGTCAAGAAAGAAATATTTGTTTGTGACTAGCAAGCGTTACGAAGAGGGACGACATGATTGTTTATAACCCTTTACTCTCAGTAACAAATAGACCGATAAGACGAATGCAGTACAACCTTATAGAACAAGACGTATTCAAACATTCCTTGTTAATCTCTCCTACTGGAAAGGGCATTATTCAGTAGAGGTCGATTCAGTGCTCCCGCATGCAGAAGTCGATAAATGAGCGCTTGCGGTCCATGCTAGTTCCGGCCTCCCGGTATCAGGTCATCGTGTCGTTTGCGGTCTCAAAATGCTTACGGCCCTAGGTAGAAGTTGCTGGAAGGCAAACGAAGCATTAAAAACTTTTAATATATTACAGAACAGGCATTTGTTCCCAAAGCCGCGCATTAAACATGGATGAATCTCCCCTCAGTCTTACCTCGTACCCCGTATCCCAATTCTGCGAATAACCAATCCAAAAAGCCAAAATGGAGAGCTCATGGCTAGGAGAATAAGCATGAGAAGTACATACACGCTAACATTGGCACCTGATGGTTCGCCAATAATCATCCTGCGTTGAGCCTTTCGATCTCGATCTTCATCTTCCATCTTACGCAGAATCCGATTGATCTGGTTCAGTCTCACCTGTCGCCTTTGACGGTATTCTTGCTCCAGTTTTTGATGTTTCCGGACTTTGCTCTCAATTATTCGTGCTTTTTCTTTCTCCATTCTATCAAGCTTACGCCTCAAAGATGCCTCGAAAGCTTTCCAATGTTCTGCTCGGCTTTCTTCTGTTGCATTTCGCTTCCGTTTCTTTTTTCTTAACCTAGTTGACCGCCCTGCTGCAATCCCCAGTATTTGCCGGCGCTGGTAAAGTAGCGGCTCGCTGTTCAAGGCAATGGTTTCAGTTCGATGGTCTGCTGTTCCGCTGGATTCAATGTCGTCGGGATACCAATTAACCTGATATTGGTTAGGAATAAAATCAGATTGCAATTGTTGTGGTTGCTAAACATGGATCCTGAGCTTATATACCTGTTGGATGTTATACCTTAATGCGGCTTGACTTATAACAGACTGGAATTGGCGGTCAAGCTCCTGCTTTGTTTCTTGCAGGATCAACATTCTCTCTTCACTTAACGGGTTATGATGAGCCATCACATTGCGTATTTGCTTCGATCTCAAAAGTAAGCCTCCGAAATATTTCGAGGCTTGTTTGCTTAATATACCTCGAAGCCTGCTGTTTCGCTGGGAGCAAGCACATCGAAGAGTATCGACAATTACTGGGAGATCCGCCGCCTGGTGACAATAAAATCCTCTTTCTTCGAGGCCATGCGGGTCCACTATTTCTAGGAGGAGATAACCCAGAAATTCCAACTCTTTGGTCCAATTAAGGACCCTTTTATGAGACTCAAAATATAAATCAATCTGCTGTTGCATGTTTAAGGATCAGTGAGCTTTAGAATATTAATTTAGCTGGGATGTTTATGTTTCAACGCTCTGAATATATAAAGCTAACATAATAATTTAAACGCGGTTGATGTCATGTTGAGATCATAAATGAGGTTCAACCAGACGAAAGCAGCTATTACGTCACTACGTGTAGACTCAGGAAACAGAAAATATCGGTAGATACTTGCTTGAAGCAAACTTGTTGTCATATGTGACTTATAAATCCATATTGGGGAAGGAAAATAAATAAATAAATAAAAAGAAATTAAATTGAAAAGGCGGAGGGAGCCCTTCGTGCTAAATACTAGAAGCTCTGTGCCGCGGCCACTGCCTAAACAGGCCAGTAACCGGGAGTGTCGCCTAGCGAGGTTGGAATTGACTGATCAATTGGTTCATCGCCGTGCTCAACCGATTCATGGAATGAATACATTGGGATAACGTATTAAAGTAGTCATTATGTATGTTTTTTTTTTTTTTCTTTTTTTCTCATTCCTTACATTTTTAATGGATCTTCAGAATATATATCACAGAGCGAAAATTGTTCGGTGGCTATTAGGTAGGTAAGTAATCAGCCGAGCAAAGGAACGCAGCTCTCATATCGGCACCGGGGCACGCTTTCCCCTGGCCGAAACACTGAGAACCGGACCTTGGGCGGCTGCAGGCCTTAGAAACAATTGATCCAAAACCACTAACGCCGTGGCGGATCCAGCCTGACCGAGAGAAAGCGCAAGCCAATGCGCTAGCGAAGCAATCCACCAAAAGTACTACAGTCTCCTCAGACGCCTCAGGAAAAGGGAACCAATTAGGAGCCGCAGCAGTGGCTCTTGACTACAACCGGCAGATAATAGGCTCTCGACAAATCAGTATCGGTTCAATGGAATATTGGTCGGTCTACGCGGCCGAGCTCATGGCAATCTACTACGCAATTGGGCTGGTTTTTCAACTACGACCCAGCGACAATTCTCAGCGATAGTATGTCCGCACTACAGGTAATCGAACACTCATGGAATAAGTCAGGCCAGCGAATTATCCACGCTATTCATCAGTCTGCTAGAGAGCTAAAGGCACGAGGAATCCCACTGCGATTACAATGGGTCCCGGGACACTGCGGTGACCCTGGCAATGAGACAGCGGACCGTCTGGCCAAGGAAGCGGTGGGTGCAGAAAAGAAACATCCTTTCCAACATCTCCTTTCGCGGGAGAAAGCGTACATCCGCAGTAAGATCAAAAGTGAATGTGAACGAGAATGGAGGGCCTCCAAGAACGGAGGGCACCTCCGCCACATTGATCAAACCTTGCCTGCAAGCCGCACGCGCCGGCTCTACGGCTCGCCCCCCTCGCAATCGAGCTTACCTGCTTACCCAACTACGGACCGGCCACTCGTGGCTCGCCACCTATGCCAAGCAACATGGCTTCCGAGATAACGAGCAGTGCGAATGTGGAGCGACAGAAACCGTGGTCCATGTACTTGTTGACTGTCCGCGGCTGAAGGGGATACGGCAAGAATTACGGCGGAAGATCGGAGGAGCATTCAACAACATTTCGGATATGCTGGGAGGAACGGGCCAAGGTAAGGAAGGTAAGTTAGGAGATGCCGCGCAGAGCGTCAGCGTCCTAGGGGCGGTACTGGACTTTGCAGAGGCGTCGCAGAGATTTCGAAGTCGCGCGCCACGAGGGCGGCAGAACAGAACCCCGGGCAGTGGCCAACACAGGCCTTGACGAGGCCCCAAGTTCGTCAGGAAAATAATAGTTCACGGTGAAGGAATGTACATGGAGATTAGAGATAATGGTACCCTGCATATCGCTTAAGGCGAGGAGTCACCGTATGAATAATCATCATCATCATCATCTACTGTAACCGAGAAAACAGAACACGACTACCGTCTCTGAAGGAACCTTTGCAGTAATCAGATGGAGGCTCTCAAGGTGAAAAGAAATGGCTCTGAGCTCCATGATATCGCCAGGCTGGGTGTTTTACGGGGTAGCCATGCTTGGACAAGTCTACTGATCTAAATAGCGAAGAGCTGCTGCCACTGCCAGAATAGGCTCATAACTTAGCCTTGACCCATGCTATGCCAGCACTTCCCGCAGTCATTGCAGCACCTCCCAACTGCGTAACCCCGTTAACAACCGCTAGGCCACTTCCCCCTGCGCCAGCACTCTGTGCTACAGCAATCGCACTCCCGGATACAATATTCCCGATTGAACTATGGAAGGCTGCAGCTGAAGACCCTGTATTTCGTAAACATAAAGTTACTAAATCCCAGAAGTTCAAGAGCCAGGGCGTATCTTGTTGACTCCTCTGCGATAGTAAACATACCTGCTTGTATACCTTCTGCTGTGAACCCTATAGCCGACAGTGCTGGGGCTGTTGCGCAGCCGGGGGCAGCCAGAAGAGCAACGCCAGCAAGGCCGACAACTGCACAGGTGGTTAGAGTCGGGTTTTCAGCACCCCAGCTAGCTGCCTGCCAGTTATTGCGATAATGATTAGAGCTGCTTCGTTGCATGTAAAGGGTGTATACCAACCTGAGCTGTCAGGCTTGCAGACTTTTCAAGGGCAGGTTTGCCGTAAGCTTTGACAACCCCGCCCCCGCCTTCTAACCCCGCTCGCATGATTCCCAAGCCCCCAGAGATCACACCCTCAGTAGAGAAACTTCGGACAGACATAATGCAGCGCTTAAATAGTCGGGCGGTCAGGTAGACGAGACGAAACCGTCAAGTGTAGATATCAATGATTAGCAAAGAAGGATCAACTGACAAGCTGGGGATGTGGCGCTCCGCAGGACTCCTTGGGCCTACAGAAAATCCGGACTGAAAAAACAAAGAAGGATTAACTAATGACTCACCTGCACTCCCATTCCTAGGGCTGTTCACGATACTATATAGTCATGATTTTCGAATATCGTCAATAGTATCGTCAAATTCAAAGCTTGACTATCTTGATCGTCAAATAGTATCGTCAAAGTCCTCAGGTGCCGATACTATATCGTCAAATATCGTTGCCGATACTATTATCGTTAAATAGCGACTGTGACCAGCCTCCGAAGACCTTCTTTCGTGATACCCTATAACCTAACTACCTGATCGGGACTAGCTTTAGAGCCGTCCCACATATACTGTAACTAGCTTCTGAATAGCTTTATAACCTAGCTTAGTTTCTTCGTTGAATGCATACCCTACATTCTCGCGATTACTTATCGCCTGCGTAGCCGTTCGTTACAGTACTGATTTAAACTAGATGACGGCAAATGGACTGCCAAAAACGGCCGCCCTCGACGCTGTTTTTGGCCGTCGATTTGCCAGCTCTTCTACCACTCACTCGGGCACTTGCATCCATGCACACCAACTCACGTAAGGTGAACCTCATTCGCCCGCAGCGAGCCCAGCGACTATATCCTTAGTCGCCTACTTATGCTCACGATTTGCGCATTTTCCCAGCGCTGCGGTTTCAGAAGGGCGCCGAAAATGGCTCCCTCGAAAGATTTCCAGCATAAATGGCGGCCTTCCACCCGAAAGGCCCGATGTTCCTTCTCATAACTACCGAGATTCTACTTTACATACCACGATCCTCCTTGACATCTGGCCCTACCATCCGAATCTGGGCTCCTTTTTCATATAATATCAAGTTGTCGTCAGATAGAAATCTCAGAAACTCGTTTTTATTTGCTTTGTGATTCCTCTATTCCATGGCTCGCCGTCATCAAAAGGCAGACTACCAGTCATCTATCGGGAGCGACGACTCTGATAAAGCCAGCACTGGAGACAGTCAATGCAACACTGACCTAACCGAGCCCGAGGATGAGGCTGATCCACTTCAGGATGCCGGCGACGCGGCTCTGCTCTTTGCAGACAATGAGCATCTACCGGAGTACTATGTCCAACAACTAGCGAACTTCGATGAGACGATCTACACTGTGGAAGACTATGGCAAAGGTACCACAGCTCTTCTTCATCGGGTGGAGGTAAAATGGTCCCAGTAAGCCACACTGTCTGAGCCTCTTCATTCTGTTCCCGATGAGTCGCTTCCCTAACTTTGGAGCTATATAGGTTCTGCGTTTTTCTTCAAAAGGATCCTCAGGAGGAATTCCTATATCTGTCGATTCCGATCTTGTATACCTTCCTGGACTGGATTCTCAACCTACGACATGGAAAAAATAAAAGATGGCTTCCAGGCCTCAAGTGCAAGAGCTCGTTAGACATGTTTTGGAAGGTATTCCGCCGGGTATACGAAAGAGAAACTTCCAACAAGATCACAAAACAGATGAACCGTCAAATGCGCCGAGTATGAGTGATCCTTCCCTAATAGCACAGCTTGACTCGACATCTGGTCCACCTTCGCGTAACTCCTTAAGAGCTAACCAGGAGTGATTGTCTAGGTAATCCGACGACTAGCCAAGAAGCACAAGCTGTCTTTCAAAGGATGCGATAAGCCCCCATTTAACGTGACGGACTTGACAAAGGTCGTAGAGACTACAATCAGCACAACCAAGAAGAAATTTGGGCACGGCCGACATCATATTAAACTGGGACTCTTCTTGCAGCTTGCCGGTCTTACAACAAACCGTCCTTAGACCATCTTAAATCTCCGATATCGTCACATTCAAGTCAGCTTGCTCCGTGACCCTTAGGGCGGCCCTTGTCTCATTGTGATCGAATTCACCTTTAAGTTTACTAAAGAGTGGTTGGGTGCGAAGGATACGTAAGTCATTAATGGCTCTGTTATCGCCAGCTCTAACCAGTCCCTCAGGAACACGTATATTCTTCCTAGAATTTTCTTCAACCCTTCTCTTATCCTTAATCCACACGTCTTCCTCTTGGGCCTCCTTTTCGCAGACCGCGCTTTCGACCAGGTTGATGGCGAGGAGGTGTTAGTTTCTGCAAACCAGCTCCCTCGACTGCAGATCCGGGATAAATACAACCAACTGCGACTTCACCTCGACCCAGCGCTGGACGATATCCCGATATTTCAAGTATCGGAACGGACCCTACAAGGGATTGGCATCTCCCCTATCCAGCCTCTTTCCTACTCGACTCTGGAGCCGTAGGTTAGGAAGATTGGAGCCATTACAGGCTTTCAGCAGGTCACCCGTCCCTACAGTTTGCGCTACGGATCTGGCACGGCATTAGATAGCAGTGGTGCATTACCCTTACCGCCACTGCGCTGGGGAGATCACTAAGTTACTAATTATATGCTAGGCTCTATTAGCGACTCACTACGGAACATTATTATACATTACGCCGGCACTCGCACCTTTCTACGCTACTACCTCAGCAGAAGGATCAATAAAAATCTCCCAGCAATCATCCGCGGCCTTAACCCAAAAGATAATATTATGCGTGCCGCTTACCGGATGAGCCGAACTATTGATCCAAATCGTCCGCAGGAACTGACCACCACACAATCATTATCCGTCAATCAACAACTGGAAATTGTTAAGTTGGCTCGCCGGCGCGATGAGCTTGGTCGACAGATGGGACGTCCTCTGTCAAAGCACGAAGGAACTATATAATATGAGATGTACAAGAAATTAAAACAAGAGATAGTGGGTGCCAGGCAGCGAGCACGACATGCAATTCTTTCTCAGATCCAAGCAAAGTACGACCGAGAGCAGCCGATGCGAGAAATCCAACGCCAACTGTCTGGAGTTATAATAGCCGAAGCAGAGAAACCCTTGAAATGTCCAGAGGTGGTACCAGTCCCATAGAAACGATTGATTAAGAGTCTTCTCACCTTGCCTCGACCGACAATCGAGGAGATGGATAGACGGACGGAAGCTATTAACTCTATAGCTTCTTACTCTCTCTTCGCAGAAGATGATACGTGCCGTCTTCTACAAGACAAACGTTCTCCCAAATAGTATGTTGCTATGAAGCCAGTCAAAGATGGAAGTATACAAGATATAAAGACGGCGGAAACTAGTTAATTTACGGACAACCGGCTGGCAGCTGCAATTGAATCTGTGACGAAGGATAGAAAATCTATAAAGAAGGATAAGAGACCCTTGTTCTGTTTCATCTATCTAGATCAGCCGGATTTGGATATGGAAAGGCGGACGTACAAATTCGCGAGCCACGGAGATGTTACAAAACATATCAAACGAAAACACCTTCAACATATCTCCGCACTATCTGATGTAAGATGCAATGTTTGCGATGAACAGTTTGTTTGCAAAATGTACCTCCAACGGCACGCGATTGACATGCATTCGACCGTAACCTGATCAGTCTGCTTCATAATATCAACAACGTCTGTTGATGCAAGAGTTTGAATTTCAGCGTGCATATTGACGTTGAGTCCCGCCTCTCTTTCGCTCCCCGTGGCATGGGTCTTTCTTAGTGCCAATCCTTGCAAGTCGCAGCGGAATTGGTTTTATGCAAAGTGTAGTATTAGTTGTTTTGAAATTTCTCCCTAAAAGCGGTATATAGATTCTGAAAGAAAATATTCTGTTCCCTCCTTGCTACGCAGCGAAGCGAAGGTGAACATACTGGGAAGGTAGAAAGTATCTCTGACTGAATATATTTTGTCTCATGTGTCACTGCCGTTTCCACCGTTACGGTTCGTACCACTGTTTGGTTCGCCAACCAGCCGCCTTATAGATCCAAATCCAGTATGCCTTGCCACCGGTGGGCAATACGTATCACTTTTTCTCGAGGGCGGGGTTTTCCCCTTTGTTATTCCCTGAGCCATGCCCTCAGGGCATGGGGCGCTAGCGCCTTAGGAGCTTTAATGTTCGGGTCTCGGGAGCCTTGGCCACAGTAGGTTACTCTTTTACACAAGAGTAGGTAGCCCTGAGCCGCCGTCAACGCTGCAGTTCTAGCGCCGCAGTCGTTCTGTCTGTGGGGTAAAATCTTGGTCTTATTGGCCCGTTATCAATGTTAACCTGGTTCAACAAGTATTCGCGGGGAGTCTTGTCGGCCCGCAGCGGTCCAAACCAAGGACCACCCTATGGGAGGCCACTGCGGTACCTGCCGCAGTGTTGGTGACCCACGTCCCCAGGCGATAAACTTCCTTTCCTGATCCTTGGCAGGGCCAACCTACGGCGCTAAGGCTTCCCTTTGCCCTCGGCTGGCCTCACTTGGAGCACCACAGTTGGACTGTTGGTTATCGTCCGACCCAATTGCAGTTGAACGACTAGCTAGGAAAGATCTGATAGGAAGCTATTACAATTAACAAATGTCTAGTATCATGCAATCCAGTATGGTTAAATTCATTATTGACAAAGACCGAAGGCGGTTCTCAATTCACATGGCGCTAGCCAGCTCTTTCCCGAAGGATATACTCCAGCTTCCTTTAAACAGTGAAATCGACGAGGTTGTCTTTGGCTATTGCTGTGAGTTCGTATATACGGGCGATTACACCGTCTCCTTACCGAATTCCAATCCCTCCGGGAGTGCTGTCGTCCAACACAGCAACGACAATACAGTATCTCAAAAATTTGGAACGCGATGGAATCCTATGAACCTGACTGAAAATCTATTCCATCCAACGAATCTTTCTGATATCCATGCTCCCGTCGCTGAGCGACTTGGCCCGGTGCCTTGGTATGAAGATGGAGATACCTTGAATGCAGATCCTGCGGACAATTATACAAATGTGTTCCCGAGCCACGTGCAAGTTTATCGCCTCGGCTATAGAACGAACTGGAATTCGCTATGCCATCGGTCGCTCTATTGGCTCCTACGCTCTCTTGCCCGCTTCAAGCTCTTCCAAGAACGAACTGAAGATATTGTCAAATTTCTAAGATTTGTATTTGAGGAAAGTGAGTGCATGGAGAATCTGCAAAAGATTTTGCGAGATTATGCAGCATGGAATGTGGAAATTCTTATGCGGGACACCGATTTTCAACAACTACTCGACAGAGTACCAACCTTGGAGAAAGCCATTTTCAGTTCAATGTGGAAGTGAGGACTTGGTTCACCGGATATATACAACGGATAGAATGTGCTTTTATTTTTACATGTACATGATTAAGTGTCGTTTTTATCGTTTTTAAAGAAACCTACAATGAAGTATATATACTCCAGCACACGACTGGTTCCTGTAAGATAAATAACCACATCACTCCCACAAACGCTCTGAGGAAGTTTGCTTGACGCTTATTAGGCTGTTGCTAAAATAAACCAATTAGCTGCTGCCTTCACCACGGTAAGTGACTGCTTTCGTGTCTTGAGCCATGGCGTCACGCCTGTTGTTCTAACGCCGCAGTCGCTCTTTCTTTAGGGTTTGTGCGCCATCCTCTGAGGTATTAGTGCCTCAGGCTTTCAGTCTTCTTTCCATGATGGAGGCTTAGCGCCGCAGTATACCTCGCAAAGTATCTGAACGATGTTTCATCGGTCCCTTCTCGCCTAAGTGATGTGGGGGATCACAGGTTTTAGATCGTATAATGTGGGGGCGATTATTGGTTCTAGCAATTTATAATATTGACTATCTCCCAACACTGGACCCGTCCCGTGACTCACAAAATACCTAATCCTGAGACGCATCGGCCTATATTTGATCGTTGAATGGGCAACGCCATTGTTCCTTTCTATTCCCCCCCAGGAACGTTGACCACCATTTCTTATCGAAGCACATCAAATCCAAATTTGCTCCCGGATGTCGAGGGGCAGGAGAGTATCAGTGTCTTAAAGCTACCATCCTCGATGACTGACAAGCCTCTCAGCTCTGAGATTCACCCTACACGAAGGGGGTGTAGAGTAAACTTTCCGCCGACAGTCGTCTTTGGGGGCTAATCTGTAGCATAAGGAGAAGGAACAATGCGAGGTTCTGTACATTTTCAGCACTAATTATAGCAGCCAGCCAGCCACGTATGTCAGGAAGGAAAAGGGAACATAGAGAGGATAATATGTATCAGTCTTATTAATTTATCTCAGAATCAATGAATTTTCATCATAATCATTTTCATGGAGAGCAAGAAATGTAATCTGAACACAAAAAATTACTGGGAATTTCTGGATAATTTGTGCAGCCACGGGAAATTAGCATGTTTGCACTGTTTAGTCGATTGGGGGGGTCCCAATGCCCCCCCCCCCCCCCCCCCGCTAGTGGGCTTTGGGCTTTGTGGCTTCGCGGAAGTCTAGTGTTGAAGGAGCTAAAAGAGAAAATGGAGTCTTCAGAGGCCCTCGGATCAGTAGATAATCATAATTGAATGTGCTTGGGTTGCAGCAATCCGAAATACGAATCGCGCGCTCTCGATACTGAAGTGTGAAGGATTGGTATACCAAGAGCCTGAGCCTCTACCTTAGCATGGCGACAACCTTGACATCAGCGCCTGAAAAACAAGGAGCCAAGCATAACCGAGGAGATCACGCTTGTCCCCGCTATGGCCCGTTCCGAGTGGGTACATGCCTAACCGTACTCAAAGTATAAAACTGCATCAGGCACTACCTTAGGGGTGGTAAGGAACCCCACAGACCACAGCAACCTGCAGGTCAAAACGATCAGTTTCAATCTTTCCTCAATTCCTAACATTTTCCCGGAGCTAATGAATTGAAATGACAAGTATATTCGTAACCATCAGATGAGCACTTTGCTCCATCGCAAATGTGATCCTACCACCAATCTCGATCTCCTTCTCTGTTGCGTCAAAGGAAAATAACACCCTATTGTTTGACACACTCAAAGCTCGCTTCACTCCACCTCCCCCCATCCTCTCGAGAACTTGCCACCAGTGGCCAAGCACACAGTTTCCGAGTTCGATCACTCCCGTCGGTCGTCTTGCTGGCGCGCATCTCAAGAGGTGCAATACCTCTTTCTACCCACTCGATCATCGTTTCTAGGGTGTTCGGCTCATATGGAATAGATGGGTAATGCGGCGAGGGACCACAATGTCCGCCTCCTAAGTTGTTGTTAGTTGACGTTAGGAACCGAAGTAAACTTGAAGTGAAGAGGAAAGAAATGGGAGACTTGAAGCTCACCAGGAATCATAAACAACCTCATCCACTCTTCACCACCTCCGGTAACTTCGTCAATCTTCGATAAATGTTCCATGGGCCACGTAGGCGCATTATACGGATCTGACCAGCCCTGCGTGACGAGCAATTTCCCGCCTGAATTCCTAAACGCAGAAAGATTCGTACCGATTCCGTCGAGGAAGGGAGATACGTAAGTGTCCACTAGGGAGACATCAATAGTCCAGTTGAAGGAGAGGGCCGTGGGAAGGCTGAAATTGAATCGATTATGGGACTGAGCGGATATCAAGTTTTGCAATAGCGGCACAGCGTAGTCTTGCGCCAGCTCGCCCTGCTGACCGGTCCAGTCGGATTCGCTACCAGGCTGGAAACCGGGATAGAGGGATTCATTGGTATCGGGGTGAACGGGGCCCGAGGTGAGGAGAGTGTAGGTTTTTACTTGAGCGGGCGTGAGACAGGTGGTGTTTGAGCCGGATGCAGGACACGCAAGCGATGAAATGTCAAGGGAACAAGATAGAGGGTTCTCAATGACACCGTCTTTGAGACTATCTAGGGCGTCGCAGGCGTCGAGGACTCGGGAACGTATAAAGTTGAGGGTGTCTTGAGGAAGACGGGCGTGTTCCTGGACATCCGTGTCAGCTGTTTTCTTTCCCTTTGATAGAAAGAAAAGGGAGGACTCTTACAGTGGCAGACCTCCAACCCCACAGAAACGACAACATAAGATGCGAATACCAATTCCCTGGGCAAGAAGCCACGATGCCATCAAATAAATGGGGATGAAACTCTGCCGCTGCGAAGCCCTGCGCTCCACCCGTTGAGCATCCCTCGTAGTAACTGTACTCCGGCGAAGAAGCGTAGAAGAGCCCAGTGATGGATTTAGCCGACGAGGTGAAGTCTGCGATAGAGTTACGGATCCACGCGAGGGTTTGATTCACGTCGTGCAGAAAGGGGAGGTATGTGGCGCCGCTGTCGACATCGTTGTTTGCTTGTCGGTGGCCGCCGTCGCCGCCGGCTACCGCGAAGCCCTTTTCGACATTTTTGAGCATCGTAGAGGTGTCAATAATCCCTGCAAAACCGCTATTTCCTGGTCGATTGTGTGAGACTAAGTGCGTTTGCGGTGGGAAAAGAAAACGCACCGACGGAGAGATAGCGTCCGGTATATGTCTCGCTGTCTGGAAGCCAGAGTTCAAAGTTGACGCTGTTGTTACCGAGATATGGAATAGACCCTTGCAGTCGGCAGAAGGGGATAGAGTTCAAGGTCCCAGACACGTTCATGCCGTGGACGTTGATGAACGAGGATCGCGGAGACTGGACGTTTTCCAGCTGGGAGACGACCCCCGAAAGCTGTGTGCATTGTTTCTGGAGGCCGCCTTGTGCTGCTTGACCGGCAACAAAGAGAGAGGCCAGGGCTGTGCGGTCTCGGACCCTCATGGTTTCAACTGTAAGGAGCCAAATTTATGATGGTTTATCGGGGAGAATCACAATCAATGGGCTAACGCTGTCCATTTTAAAAATTCGTTCAACCCTGCGGGGCACGGGACAATTCCCCAGATTGACCCATTTCAGAGCATGATGAAATCATTGGCCAAGGAGTGTACGCTCCAATCGGTCGTTCAAACAACCAAGTGCCAAAATGTGATCGGCGTCATTGGGAGTCGAGGGAATGTGGAGTTGCGGAGATTCTCCACCCAACGGAGAAACGGAGAAACCCTGGTAGACTGGGGGTGGTATTCTATGCGAGAATTGAGCCATCTGCCTACCGCCAGAGGTGGCCAGGGTAGTAGTTCAGTGGACCCTGCCCCGACTAACACTGAAGAGTCCTCTGATAGCGGTTACCCTATTCATGTCTATAACAAAGTGTAGAGGTAGATAAACCCGCGGCTATTACTCCCACCGGGGATCAGGTTAAAGGGGGAGCTTTTAACCAAATGTAGTAGAAGGCTTCTGTAGGTCCCCCTCCACGAGGTCTTTCCTGCAGACTTGTATACCTTATACACATAAATTGGCCGTAGCTTGAACGATGGACGTATAACATTTCATGGTAACATACATGAAGACGTGCCCGCATAGATCTATTTAGTGAGAACGGGTTATTACCGCAACCCCAGCATGGCCCAATGAGTGCCGAAATGGAAAATAATGGAATTCTCTCACTGTCTCTCTGTCTGCCCCTGGGACAACGAATCTCTAGCTAGGTGAAACATCCCCCAACTGAAATGATATCCAAAAGACCTGACCAGAATCAGTCCCAGACACAAGTGTCTGATCATTGACAGCATAGGACGACCCGCCGTGAGGTCGGCATTCAGGAGGGCGCCACACGAGTCTTTCTGAGCCGTATGCTCTCACTATCCAGCCATTATCCTCCCAATTGTATTCGACGGCTTTAGGCTGCGGCGGGGCTGGCATGCGAGGTCTGACGCGATGATTGATGACCGCCAAGCCATCTTTCCAAGACGTACCCTCAAATACGCTATAGGTTGATTGAGTAGGCACTTTTGCTACTTGTTCCATATCCAAGTTCCAGATCCTGTTGAAGCCACCGGAGTGTGTTGCCAGCGGTTTACCGTCGGGAGAAAATATCACAGAGGTATAATAACTACCGTCTTTGCGAGTATGTAATATGCTCCTTGTTTTGGAATACCATAGGACCATTGTTCCGTCATTCGCACAGGATGCCGCGTGCTGGCCAGTGGGTGAAAATGCCACGTAATTTACAATGTCTGAATGAGGCCGTGAGATGTGTTCCTGCGCATGTTGCTGCATGCCCGGCGTGATATCCCAGAGACTGACGTCTCCCATTTGTGCAGCCGAAATCAAAACTTGGCCATCTGGCAAAAACATCAGATCTCGCACGCTATCAGAGCATTTGAAGATCTGTATCAGAGTCCAAGTTGTTGTGTGCCGTATTTCAATTGTACCATCCTCCATCCCCACCGCTAGTAGCAGGTTGTTCGATGTCCCATAGCCTCACTGTCCCCTGATGCTTTGAAGCAGCTAAAAGCTTCCCACAAGGGGAAAATTCCACGGAGAGACCCCGATGATTTTCAAGGCTTTGTAACAGAGTACCTGTAGCTGTGTTCCATACCATGACCGATTCCTGTGATGATATGGCCATAAGACTGCCATCTGGAGAGGCTGAGACGGTCTCACGGCACCACCAGCTAACGTTAGTAATAAGGCACCCCAACTGTCCAACTGTCCTCAAGTGGTTCTACTCCCGAGATCCAGCGAGGAACCTCTTCTCGGAAAGCTTTTCTCATGGCACTAGCTTCCGGCATGGATACAAGCGCAGAGACATAGACTTGCAGTGGCGCTTGCGCTATGACAAATGAGAACTTTATAACAAATCTTTCCCCATCGAGTAGGAATTGTTAAAGCTCTTTGCTTTCGTCATCTTAATAATGATTGTTACTATTAGCTCAAAAACTAGTAAGCTATAGGATACCGGACGAGCAGCATACCGTAAGCATGGGAACTAGAGCGTTAATCAAATCAATGGCATATGGTATGGTTTCCAGCAAGCTCAAAGCTTCCAGCCAATGTAAAAAGTGTTGGCGGAGGAACGTGTGGATAACGTCGAGATCAGGAATCCGCGGACCACCTTGTTTCAAATGATAGACCCAATATTGACAGGAATATCGAACTTGATCCAATGGATTCAAGACTGACACTTGCACCTCTTCCGTCAGCACGCCGTGATTTGGTAGCTTGTACATGTTCCGTTCCAGATGATTGTTCATGCGGCTTAAGGACTGTTCAAAGACTTCATGATGTAGTTCCTCAAGAGACTCTTGTTTGAGACTCGGGCGGTTATCTCTCAGGAACTCTTGTGCTGATTGATGGATCACATGGACCGTATCTCACTGGAGTGTCAAGAAAGAGCTGCAGTCCAGAACAACGTATTTCACACGATCTTTCGGCAGTTTTGAAGCCCTTCTAGTTCGCATAGTGCTAAAGGTCGACAGGCAACCATGACCACAGCGAGTGCATTTTTGCAATAATCGAAACGGCAACGTGGATTCAATTTTTTCAATCTTCCAAGCAAGAACTCGTATAGATCGTGGAGTTTGTCGGGAACGCTGTCGAGAATTTCTTCCCAGTAAGTGTCAGGCAAGGAAATGAGCTGATCACAAACCAACGATACCTAGAGAAAGGTTCTTCCTGTGTTTCCCTTCAGTCTGTCAATCGTTTGATTGACGAGGTTTTCATCGCCCGTGCTCCCCTCGAAAAGTGTCCTCTTTTGGTCTATGTAGATGGTTATAGGCCCCGAAAGTGAATGATCGTCAAGTCTGATCACGGCTTTGGAAGAGGCACTGATATTCTTCATTTTCTCGTCGATTTCAAGCAAGGGTCGACTGGTTACCAGTATCTTGACCTTCGCCGGTGTCCCGTCTGTAGGGATTAGCTTCATGATCCGGAAGACATCTTCGCCTGCGTTTTTACATTTATCCAGAGCATCAATCAAAAGATCAACCTGACCAAGTTCATTGTCATTGGCCATCTTGTTGGAAATTGGTAACAGGCTGGTAAATGCCATGGGGTCATTGAAGAGTGCACTCCCGGACTCCTCATAACTAGGCCGTAGGTGTCGTGCAAGGCCTGGATTTTGGACGAGGAGGAGCCACATGAGAGCTCGCAAGACTGCCGCACCCTCATTGAGCTCTTTTTCAGTGTCTTGATTGAGGAAATAAACGATTTCTTGATCATGCACGCCAGACAGGTTACTTGCAAGAAGCTCTTGGATGAGACCCACAGACAGCATTGTCTTTCCAGTTCCTGCCTGTCCATTGATCCACAAGAGATTGGGAGAATTCGGATTTTCCCAGTCAACGAAGCTTTTATACTCTTCGGTATCCAGAACCCACCCGTACAATTCCCTGACGGACTTTTCTCTTCTCTCTTCGATGTCCCGAATTTCAGTGCGGGGATCAATCCCGCGTAGATGCTGCATGCACGAGATCTGGGGCTAATGTCCAGTTAGTCTACTTCTTTCCCCTCTTCCTTAGTCCCCACTTCTTCCGAAACATCAAGATCTAGACCATTGAACACCAAGCCTTCTTGCGAACTCCCTGTTTTGCAAATAATATTGCAACACCGTGAAGTGGGTGCCCAACACGGCTTGACCCAAATTCTCTGTCACGGCCAGTCAGACTAAACAAACGGACACACAACATGATTTTCAAGACAATCTCTCACTCTAGTTTTTCGGCTAGACTGAACAGCACAGTGGAAATTGCACCACCGCCAGCAACCAATTATATCAGATGGGGCCGCATCTGGATTGGATTTCTCGTGTGTCGATCGGTTGAGACGGAATGAGAGATGAAGAAACACGAACGAAAAGAAACGCCTTTTTGCTAGACCGATGCAGGGAGCCGAGTCAGGGGTGATACCAGGCTGGTTGGTTGCATTCGTTGGATGGATGGGGATTCGTTTGCCGTCACGAGAGGGAGAAGGCTGAAGAGATTTGATTTTTTTTTTCCGGCCTTTTTTGGGGGGCTTTTGCGATCGCGAAGTCATGTTGATGGGTGTTGTAGGGTATCAGAGTTCATTGCCAGATGCGAAAATAGGCAAAGCAGAGCTAGACGTACAGGTACTGTACCCATGAGGATTGCGAATCCATCTGGCTGATCGGCCCCGGAGAGTTGGAACGCGGACCCCATCGCCGACTCTCATAGGGTGGAGACAACAAACATCGGGAATTCGATCTTCATGCAGCTCCGTATCGCTGCCTCCGCGGGTTGACTCTGGGGAGAAAAGCCGGAGGGCGCCATGCGCCGATCCCCTGGGACATGTCGCATACTCTTCATCCTCGCGAAAGCATGCGTCAGATGCCGATCCTCTCAGTTAGCACACGCAGTACTGAGCAAGTACTACATACCTGTTGTGATCTGGACCATCCGCCGAGGCCGCGGTGCATTAGGGATCCCAGGGTGGAATAGATTAACTCTTGCCTGAATCCGACGGGGATCCTCGAGATCGGCGTTCTAGTGCCAGGAACATGGATTCAGGAGACGGGGACGATTCGATATGGCAGGGATCCTTGGACAGGCGTTGATTAACCAGATGTATTCACTGTAGGGTGCGCTGTAGTATAAACTGGAGTAAGTATACAGTCTGGAGATGCGGGTGAACGCTCACCCGAGTCATGGTCCTGCCCCGCCAAACCTCTTTCTCTGCTTTCTTATTCCAGGGAAATTGACCGTGATGGGTATAATCCATTGATTTGATCCCGATGTCCTACATTCACTGTATAAAGGATCTGGGAGAAGGTCATCAACCACCGTGTACTGTGACAAGTATAAGTGGCACCGGAGCACATCCATCCATATCCACCTTTGACTCCAAACCTCCCCCTCTTCGGCTTCCCGCCTCCAATTTTCTCTTCCCCATCATTTCTCGGAATCAGCCCATCCTCCGTCCTTCGCCGTCCCTTCGTCATACCGTCGGCCTTTTTCACCTGGGCTGTTTATTCCGGTCTTCTTCTACGATTAAAAAATATCCTCTGTATTTCGATTTCTGCCCACCACCCTCACTCGCCGCCCGTCCAGTGGGCCGAAACTCCGCCCGACCACGTTTTCCCCACGGGGTTTTTGCGTTTTTTTCTGCCTTCACCGGTCGCTCTTCTCGTCGCTGTCCCTGTCCCGCCACGCCACACCACGCATCGCCTGGGTCTATGGCTGCCTTCATCCGCTTACTGCCTTGACCTGTCATCCTCGGTTTTGGTCATCGGTCCGCGACCCTCGTGGGCTGATGGGCCGGCCTGGCGAAAATTTGAATCCCCTCCGGTACCCGGCCGTTGGCGAACACTTGAACGGTATATGAATCGGAATCAAAGATTAGCAATTTATGACAAGTTAGAAGCTGCACCATGGCTTCGGTGGTCAGCGCAATGCCGGGGTTGGACGGTCCCAAGTCCAACCGAAGAGCTCACAGTGAGATGGAGACCTCCGATAACGAGGCCCATCCCGCCGGCAATGGGACGCCGCGCAAGAGGAAGAGAAACCGCAAGGTGCATTCCGATCGCAAATACGACTGCACCTTTGAGGGCTGCGGCAAGAGTTATTCCCGCGCCGAGCATCTCTACCGACATCAACTGAACCGTATGCAGGCACATGTACCATAGAAACCCGGGAGTGTAGCTAATTAAACTTGACTTAGATGCCCCAAAGCAGATCTACCGATGCGACTTTCCCGACTGCTATCGCTCCTTCGTGCGACAGGATCTGTGCCTTCGACACCGTGAACGACACACCACCCAAGGATCTCAACTGCAGAAGCGCGATCACTTCGCGCAGGCGGCCTCCTCCAACCCCATTCCTATCCCCATCCCTCAGCCCGCGGCCGTCTCGCCGTCGACCGACCTCTCTTCCGGGCGTGCGTCGACTGCAGGCTTGCTGGATTCCCAGGCTATCAGCAATGCGAACCAAAATGTTGCGACATCCTCGTCACCCCCCTCGGCCGGCATCAACCGGACGTTCAGCTATCAGCAACTACTTCCGCAGCGCGACATCGAGACGACCAACGCCTCCTTCTCACGGCCTGCAGGCGCGAACGCCCACGTTTCTCCTCCCAGCCAGCGGACCGCGTATAGCCCTCCCAGCCTACACAAAGCGCGTGTCGCGCACCCAAACAGAAATTCGGTGACCGGATCGACAAGCTCTGGCGAGCTGGGCAACGAGCCCCAGTCGCGACCGTCCGTATCCGAGTCCAGTCACAGCTCTGCCGCCCAATCTCATGACCCGAGTTCGGTCTTTTCGATACCCGCCGAGCTGACCGGGTCTTCCTTGGTCAGCCCGACGGCGTACGGCTCTCAGACAAACCTCCAGATGCCCGTGAACGGTTATTCGGATATCTCTCTAGCGCCCGCTGCGTCTTCGACTCCCGCATCCCTCGGTCCAACTGCGGGCCTGAACGCTTTGGATTCCATGTCCGGAATGATGGCCTCCGGGGCCGTGGGTGACGGCGGGTTTGACTCGCTAACCTCGTGCGTCTATCCTATCTTCGGCAGCGAGTCCTACAACCGGTCCCCCTTCGCTATGGCCGACGATTTCACCGCGTGGCTGTTCAATGAACCTCCGGCGGTGTCGTCCTCCGTCGGCTATCCGTCCGGGACCACTATGGTGCCTAACTACCTGGACGCTGCGCAGCTGCAGAACCAGTTCTTCATGGGTGACTCGGCCTACGGGGCGTTCTTGAGCGGCGTAGTGCCACACCACCCCATGAGCGTGACCAGCATCCTGGATCCCGGATCGCCGCGCGCAATCATGTCCGAGGACAAGCGGCAGGAACTACTGCACCTCATGGCGACGCGGTTCAACGAGGCGGCCTATTCCGTTGTGGCAAAACGCAAAGACGCCCTGATGGAGGGCGACATGGATGACGACAACCACGTGCTGAGCCTGCGGATGATGCAGACGTACGTTGGCTCGTATTGGTACCACTTTCACGCGCAGCTGCCCATTCTGCACCGTCCGACCTTCGTCGCCGACCAAGCGCCCAACCTGCTGCTGCTGGCTGTCATGGCAATCGGCGCGTCCACTCTGGACCACATCCACGGGCCCGAGGTGACCGAGGCGGCGTCCGAGCTGGCGAATTTCATTGTCTGGCATCTGCGCTGGGAGATCTTCATGGACGCCGATTTCCGACCGCCCGCCAAGCTCTGGGTCTTCCAGGCGCTGCTGCTGCTGGAGGTCTACGAAAAGATGTACTCTACGCGTGCATTGCACGAGCGGGCCCACATCCACCACGACACTACCCTGACGCTGATGCGTCGCGGCAGCTCGTTGATCGGGCGGTCGGCTTTCGACTCGCCCGCAAGCCTGCGCGATGACAACCAGGTCCGATCGGCGTCGGGCTCGACCACCACACCCGACTTTGCGGCCGACGAGTCGTGGACACACTGGATCAAAACTGAGGCCACTCGGCGCGTGGCGTTTGCCGCGTTCGTACTGGACTCGACGCACGCCACTATGTTCGGGCACTCGGCTAAGATGGTCGCCCACGAGCTCCGGCTGCCCCTGCCGTGCGACGAGGCGCTGTGGTCGGCGACCAGCGCTGCCGAGGTGGCGCGCGTGCAGTCCAGCCTGCATGCCAACGGCGTCAAGCCGGTCATGTTTCTAGACGGGCTCAAGAAGACCCTGAATGGCCAACGGGTGCGTACTAATGCTTTCGGACGCACCATCATCATGTCCGGTCTGCTCAGTGTCAGCTGGCACATGAACCAGCGAGACCTCCAGGTTAGCTCGCTTGGGGTTCCCCAGGCGCTGGGTGGCCGGGATAAGTGGCGGTCGGCGCTGCTGCGGGCCTTTGATAACTGGCGGCGCGATTTTGACGAGGCGCTGGGACAGATTGGATCGCCGCCGTTTCCCAACCACGCATTCAATCGCGTCCGACACCCGCTGGACGAGGACAACGTGTTCGAGTCGCGCGACGTGCTGCACGGGCTCGCCCACATGGCGTCGCACGTGGACATTGTCGACTGCCAGATCTTTGCGGGCGCAGGGCGTCTGATGGGTCGGTCCATCACCCCGAGAGACTACAGCGCCGCCCGCGAGAAGATGATCGAGCGCTGGGCGACCAAGGCGTCAGCCCGCGACGCCGCCTTCTACGCGTTGAAGTTCTTGTCCGAGTGCTTGCTGAACTGGGGGTCGGAGGAGGGCAGCGACTGCTACTCGGGCCGTCACGACTTCCTGCTCAACCGACCGTGGGTCATCTACGTGGCGGCGTTGGTGGTGTGGTGTTACGGGTTCGCCTTGGAAGGACCGATCGCCTCGCCGCCGGCTCTGGCAACGGTCGCCGACCAGAGGCGCAACATGCAGGAGTTCCTGCGACGGGTCGGCGGCGTGAAATCCCCCAACGATCTCGAGGGGATGCAAGGACGCAACCAGTGCCTGGGGCTGTTGGTCATCCTGCGCCAGGGATTTCTCGATGCGCGATGGGAGCTCTTGGCGGAAGCAGCCAATCTACTAGGCAGCTGTATCGATAAACTACGAGGAACATAGCAGATTTGATATGGACATATTTGGGAGTCTGGTACGATGATTGTTTATATGACTGGCGAGGGATTAGATGTTGATTTATTATGCGTGATGATTTGTACTTTATGATACCAGGAGGCAATATTTTTCTTTACTGTGTCTGAACCACTACTCCGTAGTTACCATCATAATACTCTGGAGTAAGACGGTGATGGATGATCTTCATGGCAGATGGAGTGGAGCCCCCGAATTCAGGCCACGACGCGGTTACCACAACAACCAAAGTAGAAGCCGCCGCCTTCTCTTAGTCTGTTTCTTCCTTCTCTCCCTCCTTCTCCAGCTTAGTTCTCTGCCACATTCCATCCCATCCCTCTCGTCTCACTGTTTATCGATTGTGGTGTCATTCGTGCTGCCCCTGTCTTCCACCCCTCACTGCAACCCCTACCAGTTCTGGAATAACAACAAAAACATCGTCATTTGACCACCTCATCAACATGGTACGTGCCGGAGTCTCCTTGGTGGAATTGCACCTCAACCCTTGCATTCCCTGTCAACAAATGGGTTGTTCGATCCTCTAGACTTGGACAGTCGTGCCAAATTGTGGTGTTTGGTTTGTGGCATCGTGCACCAAGTCTGGCGATCGGTTCCATTGCAATTAGAATTCCGCCCCTCGTTTCCCCCCCCCCAAGTCCCTTTTCCCTGGTTCGCCGATGTCTGGTTCCTCCGTCACTTCCCTTCCCCTTCCCTCTTCATTTCCTCTTCATTCCCTCTTCATCCCCATCCGTTCATCTCCATTCCGTTCATTTCCGTCTCAATCATCTGTCGAAATGTCTCGCTCACCTCATCGCGATAACGACCAGGCCTCGACCAACTACAAGGAAGCTTTCTCGCTATTCGACCGCCGCGGGTCCGGCAAGGTGTCACTAGAATCGCTGGGCGATCTGCTGCGCGCCTGCGGTCAGAATCCCACCCTCGCCGAGATTTCGGACCTGGAGAAGAGCGTCGGAGGAGACTGTAAGTGGACGGATAATGAATGCGTGGACGGCGGTGGATGCTAATGGGGTATAGTCGATTTCGAGTCGTTCTTGAAGGTGCTCAACCGTCCCGGTGGATTCCGTGAGCCCGGCGAGCCCGACGAATACTGTCGCGGATTTCAGGTGTTTGATAAGGATTTGACCGGGTTTATCGGAGTGGGACAGCTTCGCTACAGTAAGTCGGGATCCTCTGGGTAGAGGCGACGGATATTAATGGTTCCCCAGTCTTGACGAATCTTGGGGAGAAGATGTCGGACGAAGAAGTCGACGAGCTGCTGAAGGCCGTTGACACCAGCTCCGGCGAGATCAACTACACTGGTAAGTTCACTCTTTTTAAAGGCTTGAGCGCCGCTAATTCAGTAGATCTGGTCCGCACCATCCTGGCCAACTAATTGTTTCACGATACCCTGATGTTCTTCATGATCTCTCTCCTTACGACGCGATTCTGCCCCGAGGCCGGGAGTTGTTGGCTTGAGCGTATTAGTTACGTTATAATGTTCTTTATTGTATATGCAGGAGGATTTGGGGATACACGAGTCTTTAGTTAGTATCAATTGATTTGTTTCTGTTGTACCAGCGTCCTAGGGCAACCAGCCCGACCACTCTCGATCGATCGCCTTCATCTTCTCGGGATCGCCCATATCGTCCGTCTCGACCAACGCCCCAGGCAATAGATAAACCACCTTAGCTCTCTCCGCCTCCTCATCCTCATCCTCCCCATCCGGCTCTTTCCCTGCCGCAGTCGCATTGGGAAAATGCACCGCGTCTAAAAAGTACCCCACCACCACCCGACACCGCCCACAACGTAGAAACCACCTCTTCTCGAACCCATCTTCCCGTCGCACCATCGTCGCCCTGCGATCCGGCATCGCCGTCGACAAGAGAATCGAATAATGTTGTTGAACCGGGCTCTCTGACCCAGCTTCTTGCCCTTGCTCTTTCACGTTCGATGGATCTGTTTCAGTGGGTTGCGTGCGCGGGGACGGTAGAGGGAGAATCAGGGCGCCATCGCGGGCGGGCTCTTTTCGTCGTGTGAGAGATGATACTGTTTGTGTTGTTGCGAGGAGGAGGTGGTTGCAGAAACGGCAGTGGTTGGTGAGGATTGGGAGGGTGGGTTCGTTTGTTGGGTTTGGGGGTGGGGAGGGAGATTTGGACATTTCGGGTGGTGGTTTGTGTTTCTTTCTTGGTTACGCGTAGGTTGTCTTGCGTCGAGGGGTTGGTTTCGAGATAGGTAGGTAGGTAGGGAGGGAGAGTACCGGTAGAGCTTGGTTGTTGAAGAGCTCAAAGGATATGGAGGGAGGTTGCGAGATCGGTTCGCGGATTGATTGAGGAGATTACGGTTTGATTGGGAGGATTGCGTTTCGCTGAGTATAGAATGTTCAGCTGGATGGAGTGCTGTAGTGAAGGTTTGTCGGTTCTTTCAGAAAAGTGAGAAACAGAGACGGGGAGAGAGGATCGATGGAGATAATGATAATGAAGGTGAAATCTGAGGAGTCAAGGTCTTTGCCTGATTGGGTTAGTGCAAAGTCTTTATGGCCTGATATTTCAGGTGTTCATGGTCCGCGGATCTATAGAAATAATACTCTGCAATACTCTGCAGACTGCTCTATACATGAGATATTGTTTCTTGTCTATTCTTTCAATGATGGATAGGCTCATCGTGAGGGACTAAATGCTCATTATCAACCAATTAGCCCATGTCTCAATCTGATCCTGTTTACGATAGTCAGATCGGTGGCATATATACAGCATACCTACCTGTTAGATAGGTTTCTCGTTTTTGTACGTCAACGTGTCAACACGGAGGGATATTACAATGAATAAAATGCTGATTTAGATTTAATTAGGCTGACTATAGGTCAATTATACAATAACAAGAACGGTTTGGTTTGTCAATGAACAGGAGCAGAGCTAACCATACTCCACAGAGCCAGTATTGCATGATATAGTAAGATATCTTCTGGCTAGAGATACCTACAACTGACTTTCATAATTATAATTGCTGCTTGGTGTAAGGTTCGTGCTCAGGGAAGAGTGAGTGAACAGCCACTCGAGACTGAGCTGAAGGGTCTCTCTTGGGAAGTATCTACGGCACAGTGTACTGGGTTGATGAATCTGTTATTGAGATGGATGCGTTTAGAGATAGAAATGGTATTTTGTCTTGAAAAAACATTCTACATGCATAAGCATTAACCAATGTAGTGAGTAGCTTCCCCTTGTCTTCTTCCCACTCTGCCCAACCACGAGATGTCTCTCTTCACCCCATAGCCATAAATCCAAAATCAGAAAATCAATCTAGAACGTCCCCTCCCTCCTAACAGCATTCATCATAACTAAACAATCATACGAAACCTGAATCCCATACATCGCTAAACCTATCCAATACGACAACGCGCCATTCCACGCCATCGGCCCTTCCTTCTGAATATGAATGCCCGACGCAAACGCCAACCCCAGCGGCGTGATCAGATTCACCCAGCCCATACTCCTCGGAAAGACAGTCTTCGGACCAGGGTCTGAGAATATAGCCCAACTGACTGTCCACATCTGCACCCAGAAGGCCGGCCAGGGCAGGAACGCCGCCATCCAGAACAGGTCGTTCAGCAGGCGGGTCAGCTCTGCGCCGTAGTCCCGGAAGTTGACCAGGGAGAGGAAGGTGGCGGCGAGCATGAAGGCGGAGAAGGCGGCGGCGCCGCAGACGAGGACCAGGTCGGGGAGGATGGGATCGAGGGCGGGGATGAGACGCATGCGTTTGGTGATGGCGGCGCTGTAGGGGAGGTATAGGCCGCCGCCGAGCATCATGAAGATGGCGCCTGCTTGGGTGCCTTTGATGTGGGCGCTGTAGTGCTCTTGGTAGCGCTCAGCGGTCCACCAGGGTTTGGATGGTGGGAGGTTCCCGGGGAGGACGAAGCTGAGGAGGAGGAAGATGGCGGAGAGGTTGCCTGTGCTGATGGCGAGATATTGCCATGTCTTGATCGAGAGGAGGTCAGCGGTTTTGTTGTAGGCGTAGTCAGAGACTTTCATTTTCATATTGTTGATAGATGGATTGGGAGAATGGAGATGAATGATGAGAGCGGACTCGGGGTGTAAGAATGGAGAAGATAAATGGGTGATATACGATCAAGGACTTCGAAAGGTTTTAATGATGTTGCGCCCAGACGCCAGCTTAATCTACGTGGGAGTAACCTCGGATATACTGCTATCAGATGCCCTTCTTTGACATTCCATATCCATGTCTCTTAAAATCTTCATGTCCGTGTCCCGATGCAGTAACTTACACAAGATCCATTGCGTACAATGGGTCGACATGTCAGCGCAAACCCAATCTTCCTGAATAAACGACCTGCATGAGGAATGTTTAGCGATCAAACCAGTACCCAATGTACAATCTTGCAACCTAACATTCCTTAGCGCAACCTATTCCACTTTCTAGAAATCCTTTCTCCATATACGAACCCAAAACGTATCGGAGAACAGGACTCCAAAGTTAAGCCGCTATTTCCAGATTTGGATCTCCGCGTAGAAGCATAGAATTAGACCAGAAAAGGAAATGTCAACTGTCAACTGAATATTTGATAGACTCGTGCAGGAAGTATGAGGTCTATTGCCCGAACGGGATGAGATTAGGGTTCTCCTGTGGAGCTAGGACAGAGTTAGGCTCACCCCTGAATGACTTGTGGGTAATGATATCATTTGGAACTTGTAGATTACGAGCATAACTCTAGGAAGAAGTTTTAGTTGTTGCCTTCTAGACAGAACTTCCCGCTTGGCGTAGATTTCTTGACTGTGCTTTGCTATCCATTCGCATTATCTTTCTAACTCTGTGTCCAAAATATCCTAAAAAACTCCGTGGGGAGCATTCCATCGATCAAAAGAAGAACTGCCATCGACTGAACCACGATGATTACCATACACCTTCTCGGGATCCTCTTCTTGGGGTCCATAGTATGGTATCTCATGAGACTTCTAAAACTAGCAAAACTACCTCCACTCCCTCCTGGACCAAAGCCGCTTCCTTTGATAGGAAATGTTCTCGATATGCCGCCTGAGGGGTGCAAAGAGTGGTTACATTGGTTTAAACACAAGGAGGAATATGGTATATCTCATAATTTGCCCTTGTCTACTTTTCTAATGTATCGTAGGTCCCATCAGCTCCGTTACAGCAGCTGGAAACACACTTATCATCCTGAATGAAGCCGAAATCGCATTCGATATTCTTGAGAAAAGAGCATCGCAATACTCTGCGCGACCAAAGATGGTTATGGGCCCTGAGTTGTGAGAAATTATCGTACCCGTTCTAATAAAGTGCCCCTGGCGACTAATCGTTACGGTAATGTAGAGGAGGTTGGAACCGCGTGGTGTCTCTGAAAAGCAACCCTCTGGAAGTTCGAGCCCATCGAAAGCGCATCAACCACCATATCGGTTCGACCCAGGCGTTGGCCTCCTTCTATCCTCAGCAAGATATCCAGATCAATCAGTTCTTATCAAACGTGGTTTCTAATCCCAGTGATGTTTGTGAGCATATCCGGAGGTGCGCAATGGATCCCTCACACCATTTTGTTCGGGTCTGCGCTTCTTTCTTTCCCAGGGTTTGTTAACCAGACGAACAGCGTCGTCGGGGCAAACATTTTGAAGATCACCTATGGATACACAGTGGAGCCCGAAAATCACGACTGTCTAGTTGAGCTCGCAGAAGAAGTTGGAGAAAGGTTCAATATTGCATGTCAGCCGGGGCTTTGGCTCGTTGATAGCTTCCCTTTCTGTATGTTGGAGATTTGGTGTGACGAAACTCCAACTTGCTGATATTACTTAGTGAAACACGTCCCAAAGTGGTTCCCAGGAGCCGGTTTTAAACGCAGAGCCGCGGAATACCGCAAGTTGTTAACCGCACTAGGAGAGAAGCCATATGCGTTTGTACGGCATCAAATGGCATCTGGCACCCATGTACCATCTTTCGTTTCGAAACAGATTGAACAAGCAGGGGGGTCAATGACTCCGCTGCAGGAGCACGAGATTATCTGGGCTGCTGGTGTGCTGTATGGCGCTGGTGCGGACACGGTATGTGCGGATCAAAGGCAAAATATAAACAACTCTAACGAACAGGATAGACTGTATCTGCACTTTCAGCTTTCTACCTGGCAATGGCTTTGCATCCCGATGTTCAGAGCAAAGCTCAAGCCGAGCTTGACCAAGTCGTGGGATGTAGGATGGCCGTGCCGGAAGACAGAAAGGACTTGGTCTACATAGAAGCTGTGATCAAGGAGGTCCTACGCTGGAACCCTGTGGCGCCCCTTGGTGTCCCACACACCACCACAGAAGATGATTTCTATGAAGGTTATCGGATTCCCGAAGGCGCTACCGTGATACCCAACATCTGGTAAGGATCATCCTTTAACAGGCTATCGGATCCAGCCGAACCTGGCTAACCAAACCTTCATCATAGGGCATTCATGCACGATCCTAAGATATATCCCGATTCAATGGCGTTCAAACCTGAACGGTTCCTCCAGACTGACGATCATATGCCCGAGCTCGATCCGCGTAAGATAGCTTTCGGATTCGGTCGACGGACCTGTCCTGGTCGCTTTCTAGCTGACTCGAATCTTTTCCTGGCAGTCGCAAGGTCACTGACTCTCTTCGACATCCGCAAGCCAGTTGTGAACGGACAGGTAATTGAGCCAGCAGATGACTTCCAGCCGGGAATCGTCAGCCAGCCCGCTCCCTTTAAACTTGATATTCGACCTCGTTCGGCGGAGCATGAGTCGCTACTTGCGTCGCATTCAGGGCAGGTGAAGTCCGAGGGTCATTCGGCGTTGTTGGATAAGATTTGGAGTATACAGCATTAATGCCTACAGTTTCTGTATTTTAAGTTTCTTCGACTACTAGATTAGTTTAAACGAATGCTATATAGTTATGCTTCTAATCACTACCCTCAAAACAATGTCCTAAAGAAACACGACCCGTTGCCACAGCAAAGCCATTTATTAAATACGAACTAAGCAGATCATACAAAACTTCAAGATCCTACGTAATCACCCGAGTCATTCGGGATCATAGCTCAAGCCCTTGTAGTAGTATGGTTGGATCCACCTCAAACATGTATACATTAGTAAGGGACACCTGCCTCATTCGGTGACTAATGCAGACCGGGCATACTCGGGGTAGTTGAATACCAAAGCCTCTTATATTGGGCTGGCTACATTTTCCGAAGTAAGGGAGAGCTAATAAACTGCAATTAAGTCTTTATGAACATACCATAGACCGGTTCTGCCGTCATGTGGGTCAAAATTTGTGAAGTATGTTAAATATGCCACTTACAGATGTGGCGTTTTAATCTCAGAGTAAGGGTTTTGGTTTTCAGGTAAGAGCAGCTGCATACTTGGTACCTGATGACACTGCAGCCTTGACCCTATTCACATGTGTACAGGACTTTTAGGGTAGATTGACAACATAATCATTATATGACATGTTCGACGCATAGGATGGCGTTCGGAGCTGTGATAGCTCATGGGCAGATTTAATCCGAAAGGACCCCGCCTAGGTCCAAATTAGTATTCTTGTAGTGTATCATTCATCGGGTGCCAGATTATACTCTAATCTCACTAAATGGGAGATAATCACCTCAACTATGACGATCTACTCTCAACCCCCCCACCACTGCCATCATCATCGGAGCTGGATTCTCTGGCCTGAAAATGGCGTGCCAACTAAAACGGGTCTTTGATCTTGACGGTTCTACGTCTACGACCGCACTAAAGGCATCGGGGGGACATGGTGGAACAATACATGTTTGTCCCATCCCATCCCCGTGACTACCTTGCCCTAAAGGAAATGATCTCTCAGATCCAGGATGTGCGGTCGACATCCCGGCTATTTGCTATAGCCTCTCTTTCGCACCGAATCCAAAATTCACCCAACTCTTCCTTCACAGGGAGTACGGAGTGGCGGGGTGCTCAATGGCGGGAGTCCACGAAATCATGGACCGTGACGTTCGAGGATCTGCCAACAGGGCAGATCTTCATTCAAAGGTGCAAGATTCTCATATCTGGCGTTGGTGGTCTTGTCAACCCAAATAATTTCAATGTTCCTGGGGCTCAAACCTTCAAGGGGGACATTATGCATACAGCCCGATGGAATCCCAATCTCGATTTGACAAGCAAGCATGTGATTGTTGTTGGGAACGGATGCGAGTATGATCTACTATCATGTTTACAGTTTCTGACTCTGCAGGCTCCGCTGCGCAACTCGTTCCGGCTACCGCGGATCAGACGAAATCCGTCATTCAGTTTATGCGGGTTAGTTGGCTCCATCTGATGGATCTGCATTTTACTAATGTGTTCAGACACCACAACATATCATGCCTAGCCAGAATTATGAGATATCGGAAACGTGGAGGATCATCTTCCGCTGTGTACCGGGACTTCTATTTCTCGTGCGCATTCTGATGTTTCTCTACATGGAATCTGGTTTCCTTCAGTTTGGCAAAGGGAAAGCGGGGTCGTTGTCTCGGAAGAATTCAGCACAATTGAGCGCGAATCATGTGCGGAACACAGCACCTGGTTGGTTTGGAAACCATTTCCAGGAGATAGCGGTCGTGCTGAGATACATGTCCAGAGAAATATTGGGATCTACTGACGCCGAAGTTCGAGTTTGGATGCAAGGTAAGTCTTGCTCCTCCGGTACTTCAACCAAGGTTAACCGTGAGTCTAGAGACGAGTGTTCGGCCATTGGTATCTCGAATCTCTCAACAAAGATAATATCCGTCTCACCGACGACCACATCGCTAGCATCAAGGAACAATTTATCTTGACTAAATCCGGAGATGAGATCTACGCACACGCCATTGTAAGCTAGCACCCATCGTTCCAGGCAGCTTGGAACACCAAAAAATGAGCAACCAAAAATACCAACTTCCAAATACTTGCTACTGGATTCGCCTTGACTCAATGGGATGTCGATATTCGCAGTCGAAACGGCATCAGCCGGAAGCAGCACTGGGAGGAATACGGCTCCAAAGCCGCGTTCCAATCCATCGCCATGAACGACTTTCCGAACATCTTTACCCTGATCGGCCCGAATTCCGGGCGTGCGCATACATCGAATTTGCTGTCTATTGAAAGGGTGTACCAAGCTTCCTGCCCTAGGGGTGAAATTAGGGTAGATGGCTAACGGAAGTCCAGTTATACTTATTTGATTCTCTCGGCGATTGAGCCCGTTATTCGGGGTTCTGCTCGATCAGTTGAGGTCAAGGAATCTAGTGAACGACAGTTCAATCATGATGTTCATTCGGCGTTGGAGCAGACGATTCAGAACACGGCGTGCTCGAGTGTGAGTATTCTTCTATCATTAGGGGTATCAACAATAACACCTTCGTGCAGTATTTCATCAACAAAGACAATGGGAAGAACTCGTTCATTTATCCATGGAATTCATTTTATTTGTGGTGGTCTACATGGGGAAGGTCGGTTGATGATTGGGTATATGAGACTTTGAAATGGGATGGGACCTTTTCTTGGGAATCAGAATCAGAATATCCAAATTGAATGTTCTAGTTAGCAGCTGAGAAATTGATGATTAGTTCCTTCTATGATGTATCGCACATAACCCTAAGTAACGAGACCTCAACTTCGTGCACAGTGGATAACATGTCTTGAGACATTCCACATCCAACTTTCACTGTCATTGCCCGAATCTCTCCAAATCAGGCACTCTTATGACGCAAAGAAGATCATTCCAGCTTGCATCATTTGGGTCCAGTCATGGTTCAATGTCGTAATAATCCCTATTTTCGTAGGTGCATATTCAAAAATCTTTTTCGCCATTAAGCATCCTCCGACATAACTATTCTATCAAAGCAAAAAAAAAAAAAAAAAAAAAAAAAAAAAAATTTCGATTAAAAGCTTATCTCATTCTTTCAAATGGATCTATTCAGTCATGCCACTACTTCATCTGGAAATTTTTCCATCATAAACTCAAATTCTGTTTCCTCTTCTTAACGCCTCCACAGTGGCTGAATGGCTGATACTCTAACTTTAAGTAGAGTGGGTCCTTCAAGCGTCTACCGACTAGTCTGTATACATCCATCATAGTCTATTCAATTTCAAAGGAAGGAATCTTGAATCATCATGCGTCTATAGTCCGATCGATTCCTAACATCTCGCATCGGTATAACACTGTCCTGTCCCAGACCAGGAACGGTATTTCTTTTTTCAGAAAGACACGTAGCGTGAGACTTCCCGTGACATGTGATAGTGGCAAGACCTTACGTTTCTCATCTCATGCATTTCAACCAATAAAAATGGCGTCTCCAATCTGTGCTATTGTTTTAAAAATGCCACCTGCAATGGCAACATCATCCTATCTTCCTCTTCTACTGTCTTTGTTAAGAGCAAACAAATTGAAAGTCCTTTAAGGCAACTCAGACCAACGATGAAAATTTCCAGTTTCCTACATCGGTTTCACCTGGCACGCTCCAGTGTCAGGCCCTCTTTTGATTATCTACTTCTGTGGGCCCTGTCCGGGTGTCTCCGTCTCGGTGGAGTCTCGTCCTGTGTCAAATGGATCGCCGCCCTGACGACCATTGCTCTGCTTTCTTCTCCGCTTCTTCTAGTTGGATATCTGCTGTTGGCGTCTTTGTATCCGCGCAGGCTCACCTCCGTCTCAGACACTTCTGTGTCTGTGGTGGGCAAACCGCTTCTCTTCCCTCTCACCTTGACGCATAATCGTCTGTCTCCGATCTGGAACCGCTTCAGTCACAGCGTGTTGATGGTCGGCGTACCCGTGGGCCTGAAATGCCAGATCGGGAAGTTGTTGTCTATCGATGCGGAGGAGACATTGCCCAGTTGGTTCACGTTTGACTCGAAGCGGTATCTGCATCGGGGAGATGAACACCTTGGACTCAGAGAGAAGTTGGATGTGTTTTTGCGAGACCAGGTATGGTCGACGTCTACGTTGATACTATAGCAGAACCAGCTAACAAAGATTAAAAAGAACGAGGATTCATCGCAATGGCCGTACGCTTATCTCCTCAGCGTCCCGCGATTTCTCTGGTGGGAACGCAGCGTCGTCACCTGGTGGTTCCTGTACTCCGAGAACAAGGAACTCGACGCCGTGATCATGGAGATCAACAACTCATTTGACGAGAAACGCAACGTCCTCTTCAAAGTCCGATGCACGGACGCGGACGCCAAAGCCCTCGAAGACTCGCTGGACACCGACGCCCTGAAATCAGAGTATCTTGACATGAAACGCACCGTGGAATCCTTGAGGACTTATCCCAGCTCCGTCTACTATAAAGGCATCTGGGAGAAACACATCTACAGTTCCCCGTTTGAGAAACTTGGCGGGTGGATCAGCGAGCGATTTATGGATCCGACGACCCCGGCGGCATGGCATAAGATGCGCTCTATGTCTAATACGACGACTCTTTCTACTACCACCGGGCAGCCGAAGATGATGACTAGATTGTCATGTAGAAGTCCCCCGGTGGATCCGATGCAGGCGTCTTGGTGGACAGTTGCGAAGTTGCTGTTCTCGTGGACTTTGCCAGTGACGTTGACTACGCCGCGGATCCTTTATCAGGCGCTGAGAATCGAGTATTTAGGGTGGATGCGCATGCTATATAAGCCGCATATTCAATCGGGGAGTGAGTCACGACGGGCTACAAAGGGTGAATGGTAAGTTTTCTTGGGCTTACATGACTGGGGATTCTGGCATTAATAAGTTCGGTATAGTGGCCTGGAATCTTTCTTCCGCCAATACCTCTCCCATTGCGTTTCGTCGCATTCACTTCCCTTAGAAATAAAATACCTCCCATCAAAAGCGATATCTCGCGAGGAGGTAGTGATGTGTTCGCCCGCTTGTTCGCACGAAAGCTCTATCAAATCATTGACCATCGAGGTCCTCGACCCCGGCTTCTACACGAGAGTGCTTCAACACAAGGACCCTGTTCAAGGCCTGGACATTGAAGCCACAGCTGGCGGACTGGAAGCGGATGAGCAAGCAGCTTCTTTGAATGTGTCAGACATTATTCTACTCAAAATACTGGTCCAGTCGAGTCCATCATATCCAGCCATTACCCCCGAGACCAAAACATTGTCAAGCAGATCATCAAAGAAGGAACCAGTCTTCATGGACCGGTTTGTGAAGGGGTACTTGTCGTCGTCTTCGCAGTGGGATTACAGATCTCTCAAGCTACGCCTCTTCGCTGAGAAGATGTCTTTTGGGGAGCCTGCGTTGCTGCAGCTCTACAAGTATGCAGGCGGCATTGCGTGGAGAATGGGCGTGACGGAGCTGCTGGGCAGGTTTGTAGGTCTTCCTTATGAGGCTGCTTATTTGGGTGTTTTCCATGCGGGCGTTGCGTGTCTTTTCTAAATATGGTCTAATGGGAACTGAAGAGTGTTTTCGTGCATTTCGCATTGCGCATATGCTTTTTGGCACAGCTTTCAACAATCGACAGCCCATCCACATAGGCATTTAGGGATTATTCATAAGAATGGAATATGCTTCTTGTGTATAGATTCCCAAACATCCGGCAAACCTTGGTATATTAGTAAACTTGATTTATAACTATCTAAGCTTAACAGTAGCTAAATTAGATTTTCCAAGATTCCTTTACTTGGTTTTGCTTTGGTACCATTTTAAATTGCCAACTAGTGGAGTGACTGCCTTTCTAGTAGTAGCCGTGGGTGTAACAACCCCGCGGTTGCAAGAACGCACGAAGTAGTATTATATGTGTTTAGAAAATTTTGTATGAATATTGGTAATA